TGGGCCTCCATGTTTGCCTTGGGTTAGACAAATCAGAACCAGCCTCCTGAAGCTGGAAAAGATTTCTTCGTCCTTGAAAGCTCATAGTTTTTTGAAAGAAGGTGGGTAGCTGAAACAAAATCAGCATTAAATTAGGAAGGTAGAAATAATTATTGGAGTAGAATACCAACAGTACCTGCTATTCTACTTGTCCGTTAAGCACCTTGAGCAAGCTACAGTCTAGCTTGCTCATTGTGCTTGAGATGTAGCTGTGAAGATTGAAATAAAAAATAACTCCAATAAGGAGTTTTTATAGGTTGTTTAGGGAAGGTTACACAGAAGTGGAAGTGATAGTATAGCAGAGAAAATTTAGGATTTTGAGTTCTAGCCAGTGTACTTTCTGTTTTGCTTTTTTTTCCTAACATATTTTTATTGATTTTAGAGAGGATGGTAGAAGAGAAACAAAAATATTCTATCTAATAAAGAGGGAATATGGTAATTGACCATCATGCCCTCACAAATATGGCAGTGCCCACAGCCAATAAGGAGGGAATATGCTAATTGACTGTCACGCCCTCAAAGATGACGGTGCACACAGCCACAAGATGTGGCGCCCAGTCCTCTCAGCCCCACTGGGGTGGCAGGTGCTCAGCATGGTCGGGCCTGCTGCCAGGTAGGTCTGGCCGCTCCACATGCCTGCCTCCAGAGTCCCCAGTGCCCTCAGCCCCCCAGCCTCCCAGGGCTGGCTCGAGGCACAGGCAAGTCTCAGATGGCGGTTGCCCAGCCACCCAGGGAGGGCCTGAGGCACAGGCAAGCCTTGGTTGGCAGCTGCCCAGCTGCCCATGGCCAGCTGAGGATTGTGGCAGCAACAGAGGTATGATGGTGGTATTGCCTTCCCCTGATTGCTGGATCACTCCCGGCCCTGAGGCTCCCAGACTGTAAGAGGGGACTGAGGGACACCCTCACTAATGCATGAATTTTCAAGCACCGGGCCTCTAGTCAATGATATGAGAAAATCATTGATTGGCTGCCTTCTGCATGCCCCACATGGGGATTGAGCCCACAGCTGGGTATATGCCCTGATCAGAATTCGAACTGTGACCTTCTGGTCCATAGGTTGATGCTTGATGCTCAAACACTGAGCCATGCTGGCCAGACTGTACTTTCTATTATAATTAGAAGAATGACTGGTGATTTTCTGTTAATTTTTGAACAGTGCATATTGGATTTAAATATACATGTTTATTCTCAATTCCTAATTTTATTTTTAAGAGATTGAGATTTTTAAAACTATGTTTTTATCATGATCATGTTATATCTCTAACTATTAAACTAAGAGTTAGTATTTTGATCTTTCACAGCTTACCAGCTAGCTCAGTGGCATTGGCAAGTAAATTAATATTTCTGGTTATTATTTGCCTTGGTATAAAATGAGGGGATTAAGATAAATTTTGAGGTTCTTTTCTATCTAACATTTAGTAATTTTTCTAAAATCTTAATTGGAGTAAGAAATGGAGGAATTGTTTTAAATATATTTACCAAAGAGAGCATGTGAATAAAATTTAATATATTCCTCACTGTTTAAAGTTTTATGTGATATTAAAAAATAATCTGAGCTAATATAAATTTAGGTGTTTTGAACCTTTTAAAACTGGAATGTGTCTTTGGAAGTAAATATTTGTTAAGGATTCTTAAAATAATAGTTATCATAAAATATAATGAATAATATATTGAGGGTATCATACTATACCTAATTGCATTTCCCAGACAACATTAAGATGTCAAAATTTGGCCTGAAATTGTTCTTGTCTAGCTAATAGTGTAGTAGTCTCCCTCATTCACAGAGAATGTATTTCAGACCCCCAGTGGATGTCTAGAACATTTAATGTCCTCTCTTTGGCATATCTGAATTGTCAGCAACTCTGCTCTTACACTTTGAAGCCATTATTAAGTAAAATAAGAGACAAGTATTGGGATACCACAACAGTGATCTGATAACCAAGATGGTTCCTAAGTGAAGGGGGTGGTAGAATATACATGTAGATAATTTGGACAAAGGGATGGTTCATGTCCTGGGTGGGATGGAGTGGATGATGTGATATTTCATCATGCTACTCATAATGACACATAATTTAAAACTTGAATTGTTTATTTTTGGAATTTTTTATTTAATATTTTTGGACTGAGGTTGACCATGCGTAACTGAAACCATGGGAAAGGGTGGGGGGGAGGAATACTGTACTTCCATTTTCCTGTAGTCCATATTACTTTTTGGAGTGACACAATACATTGAAACTTGGTGTCTAGTCTAAGAAAAATATTATTTCTTGAATATTGTAGTGCCTTTGCTATTGAACATAAAAATTGTAGGCTTATTGTACCTTTTATGCCTACTCATCAGGTCATTTTTTAAGGCACTATAGAAGAAAATGAGATGTTAACTATGGTGTCTGCCTTAACTTAAAACCTATTCAAAAACCTATTCTTTACCTTTTCTTAGAAAACAGTGAGTTCTAATATTTAGTGGTTTGGTTTTTTTCTATTTAGAACAGACCAAACATCAGCTGGTCTTTCTAAACAAATCCCATCTAATAAAGGGCTAATATGCAAATTGACCAAATGGCAAAACAACTGGTCACTATGGCATGCACTGACAACCATGGGGCAGATGCTCAATGCAGGAGGAGTGCCTCTAAGCGAGAAACCAGGCTCACAGTTGGTGAGTGCAGCAGTGATGGCAGAAGCCTCTCCCACCTCTGAGGCAGCACTGAGAATACTCAACTGCTGGCCATCAGTCGGACATCTCCTAAGGCTCCCAGACTGCAAGAGGGCGAGACTCCCCCACTCCCTGAGTGCATGATCTTTGTGCACCAGGCCTCTAGTACTCATATAAAGATTCTCATCTCTTTTCTGCAAAAGGAATGAACAAATATTCAAATGGCTTATAAAACTCTAATAAATGTAACTCAGGAATAGATAAATTTGTTTTAGTGGAAGACTTGCACAAATCCCTGAATTTTGAAAAGACAATATAGGGCAGGTTGATCTCTTCAAGCAGTCAACAACATTGTATTATTAACCTTCTTCTCCATTGTCAGTTTCCAATTCATGCATTGATATGTTTTAAAGCTTTGACTTTTTTATTTTTTATTTTGTAGGGGAATATTTTAAGTATTCTACAATAACTGGTTGATTCACACCTGTGGTTTAACAAAATATAAAATCTGTATATTCTGTTTTTTCCTCCTTTTATGAACACAACTGTATAGGGTTTGCAGAAGGTGCATCTTCTTTTGCTGCTCCTTTCTTTATTCTTTGGCTCTGCTGGGGCAAATTAGATTTCTCCATCTAAATAAAATGAAGATGACTTGGGTTATCGGAATGTTCCTCCGACTGCAATCCCACTTAACTAATGGTTACACCTTCACATTGCCCTGCACTTGCTTAGAAGTAAAAGTAAATGCCCATGTTTACTAATGGCTGCCCTAGAAAGTGCTTCAAGGAAAGAAAAAGCCATACACACACACACACACACACACACACACACACACACACACACACACATATATATATATATATATATATATATATATATATATATCCCTAATATGCAAATAGACTGAATGGTGGAACAACTCAACAATGGGCCACTAATGTGAGCTGACCATCAGGGGCACACACAGAACATGGCGGGTGTTGGCAGTAGGCGGCAGAGCATGAAACATGGCAGCTATCAGCCGTGATGGGATGGTGGAGCAGATGAGGGGAGGCCACCAGACCAAGGTGAGGCACTGGTTGCTGTCATTGGAGCGAGCCTCTGATGGTTACTGAAAGTTCTTTGCTCCCGCATGCCGCAGTCCCGCAGAGCACTCGCACCTGCTGTTGGCGCTGGCCCCCCTCGCACCTGCTGCCAGTGCTGGAGCTGCCACTTGCACCCACTACCCTGGTGCCAGTCCTGATTGCTCAGTGCCATCAATAGGTGGGAGCAGCAGCTGCTGGTCCTGATCGCCCCTCAGGGCTTCTCCACCTCCTCCTCCTCCTGAGGGGCGATTTGGGCCGGCAGCCGCTGCTTGCATCCACTACTGGCGCCAGCTCCTCTCGCACCCAATGCCAGCGACTGCCCTGCTCACACCCGCTGCCAGTGCCAGCACTGGTCCTGATCGCTTGGCACTGTCAGCAAGTGTAAGCGGTGGCTGCCAGCTCCTATCACCCCTGAGGGCTTCTCCACCTCGTCCTACTCTTGAGAGGTGAATGGGGCAGCTGCTGCTGCTTACACCTGCTCATGGCGCTGGCCCCGCTTGCACCTGTGCCAGCCCCAGTTGCTCCATGCTGTGGGTGTGAGTAGGGCTGGCACCGCCAGTGCATGGGAGTGGTGGTGGTGGTGGGAGCTGGGTTGCAGGCAGACTGGGGACTGGGGCCATGGAAGGAGGGGCCAGGCAGGGGTGTGGAGGATGGGCAAACCTGCCCCTCTGCCCAGGGCAGCCTCAGGCCCACAGTTCCTTTCAGGGTGCACAAATTCGTGCACTGGGCCCCTTGTGTTTTTATAATTAAAAGTATATCTAACTGCTGAATTTATCTTATACTAAACTTCACATTTTAGGAACTACTATTTTTAGTTACTTCCTTGTAAAATATGTGTAGGCACAAAGATAAGCCATTTGTTTTTGATGAGTGTCTGAAATAAAGATAAATGCAGTAGTAAGGGAGAATGAAAAGTAAAATGTTATGCTCACTTGAGGGGAAAAATGCATGAGTTGAAGTCAGTTGTAGCCAATTGGTGGTTTGTTGCTGCTCCTCTTTCTGGGAGAGTTAGAATATGAAAAATCTATATATGAAATAAAAGCAAATGTTCTTTTATCTCAGTACTTATGTAACCTTATGTATAGAAAATATCAAGTGAATGCAAGATGTGTGAGAGAGCTAATTAAAAATTAAGAGGTATATTTTATTCTTTACTCATAAAAAAGGAAAGTTGATAGAGTGATCCAGAAAACTAACTGTTTGTTTGTTTATTTGTTTAGGATGGATTGGATGCTTTGGTATATGATTTGGATTTTCCTGCCTTAAGAAAAAACAAAAATATTGACAACTTTTTAAGCAGATGTAAGTAATTTTTGTGGAGGTTAATTATAGATTATATATAATGAAATCTTGACTTAGATAATTCAAGCACTTTTTTCTTCTGTGTACTCTTTGCTTATTTCATCAATAGTTTGTAATAAAATAAATGAAATGGGAAAGAAACTTTATTAGTAAGTTTGGGTGCTCATTAGGAGAATCTATAAAATATTTTGCAGATTAGAGAATGAAAAGTAAAGGGCTAAAATAAATATATTAAAATAAGCATATATATATATTTACATATGCACATTAAATTTCAGTAAGGTTGTATTTATTCTCTAGTTTTCTGTTACAAACGAATTAGCTATTTTAATACTTGCAAGTAAAAATAGATTACATATGAAAATCCCACCTTAGATATGGGAATTTTCTTTGTGAAAGTTGGCTTTTATTTAATTTTTACAGATACTCTTCTAAAATCATTATTTTAGATTTAATACTAGACATTATCATTTAAAATTTTGATTAAAGAACTTATTGAAACTGTATCAAGAACTTGTTAATAAGATTTTAGATCACAAAATCTTTCCTATTCCATTTCTTTATTTCTGTTTTCTAAACCATATATATTAATATATTTATGTTGGGTTGGTTTTAGTGTTGTCTTTCAATTTTGGTTACATGTGTTTGGTTATAAAGTTTTATTTTTCTAAATATTCAAACGTTTTTACTATGTTGTAATTTCTTTTATCATTTGTACACTTGGAAATCTTGCATCAGAATTTTACTTACAATTTTATGTTGTTTTAGTTTTCTGGTTTTTTTTAAAATAAAAATATTTATTTAGCTGTAATTTTATTTTGGAATATGGTTCCAGAGTCTGAATGGGAACTTTTTAAATATAAAGATTTTTTAAATTTCTCACATCTTAACTGAAATTGCAGGACATTTTTATTGTTGTTTACATTTGGTTACCTCCCTATTTAACAATATAGCAAAATAACCAAAAAGGTGGAGAAACATGACCCTTTCCTGTTTGATGGGAGGCAAAGGATAAATGCTCATTAATACCAAGGGGAGTATGTAGCAAGAATTGGAACACATGTTTTCTTAATTTGTTACTCCTTTTGCTGTGCAGTATTCATTCTTAATATTAAGTATGTCTTTATGTTAACATTTTGTAAATAGAAACATCAGTAGTCACAAAGGAAATAAATGAAATACTGGTAAAATGAAAACATCAACTGTTTTAACTGATAAACCTGTGTATTTTAGCCTGGTTTTTATTTTTATTTTTTGTTCCTGAAACTTTTCTTAAATTTATTTTTCAGTTACTGTTTACATTCAGTGTTATTTTGTATTAGTTTTAAGCATACAACATAGTGGTTAGATATCATATATTTACAAAGTATCTCTCTGATACTTCCTGTACCCACCTGGTATCATGCATAGTTATTACAGTATTATTAATTGTATTTTTTATGCTGTTCTTTATATCCTACGACTGTTTTGTAATTACATATTTGTACTTCTTAACCTTTTTTATCCAGTCCCTCATATCCTTTTCCCTCTATCTACCATCAGTCTGTTCTCTGTGTCTATGAGTCTATTTCAGTTTTGTTTATTTTGTTCTTTAGATTCCACATATACTTGAAATCACGGTATTTGTGTTACTCTGGCTGACTTATTTCTCTTAACATATCCTCCCATTCATGTTGTTACAAATGGAAAGATTTCATTTTTTTTTATGGACAAATAACATTCCATTGTATATGTGTATCACATCTTCTTTATCCAGTTATGTATTTATGGGCTCTTGGTGTATCTTTTCTATCTATATTAATAAAAGGGTAATATGCTAATTAGACGGGGTCGACTGGCCATCTTCTGGATTTCTGACTGACTTCTGGACAAAGTCATGGTGGTAGGGGCCGAGGTAGAGGCCATTAGAGGCGATCAGGCCAGCAGGGGAGGGCATTTTGGGGTGAGATCAGGCCATCAGGGGAGGGTAGTTGGGAATGAGATCAGGCCAGCAGGGGAGGACAGTTGAGGGCAACCAGGCTGGCAGGCAGAGGCAGTGGGGGCGATCAGGCAGGCAGGCAGAGGGGTTAGGGGCAATCAAGCAGGCAGGCAGAGGCAGTTAGGGCAATCAGGTAGGCAAGCAGGTAAGAGGTTAGGATTCAGCAGTCCCAGATTGCGAGAAGGATGTTCAATTGGAGAGGGTGCAGGGTGGGCAGAGGGAATATCCCTCCACCCCCACCCCTCGCCATGCACAAATTTTGTCCACCAGGCCGCTAGTTGCAAATAACGCTACAATGAATATAGGGGTGCAAATATTCTTTTGAATTAGTATTTTTGGGTTATTTCAAATATGTACCCAGAATTGAAATCTCTGGTTTATAAGGCAGTTTCATTTTAATTTTTTGTGTATCCTCCATACTTACTATTTTACTTAGTGGCTGCACCAGTCTGCATTCCATCAAAAGTACACGAGGGTTTTCTTTTCTTCATATCCTTGCCAACACTTGTTTGTAGGTTTATTGATGATAGCCATTCTGACAGGTGTGAGATGACATCTCATTGTGGTTTTAATTTGCATTTCTCAGAAATTCGTGATATTGAACATCTTCTCATGTGTCTTTTGATCACCTGTCCTCTTTGGAGAAATATCTGCTCAGGTCCTCTTTCCATTTTTTAATTGGATTGTTTTTTTAGTCCTTTATCAATTTTGGATATTAATCCCCAATGAGATGTATTATTGGCAGATATCTTTCTCCATTTAGTAGGTTGCCATTTTGTTCTGTTGATGGTTTCCTTTGCTGTGCAAAAACTTTTTAGTTCGACGTAGTCCCATTTATTTTTTCTTTTGTTTCCCTTGCCCAAAGAGATATATTAGAAAAAAATACCACTACGAGAAATGTGCCAGGTTTTATTGCCTATGTTTTCTTCTTGGAGTGTTATAGTTTTGAGTCTTAAATTTAAATCTTTAATCCATTTAGAGTTTACTCATATGTATGGTGTTAGAAAGTTGTCTGTTTTCATTTTTTTTTTTCCATGTATCTGTTTAGTTTTCCCAACATCATTTATCAAATAGACTATATTTACCCCCATTGTATGTGTTACCTCCTTTGTCAAATATTAATTGACCAAAAAGGCATGGATTTATTTCTGGGCTCTCTATTATGTTCCATTCTTATATGTGTCTGTTTTTATGCCAGTAGTATGCTGTTTTGATTACTATAGCCTTCTAGTATAGTTTGATACTAAGTAGCATGATACCTCCAACTTTGTTCTTCTATCTCAAGATTTCTGTGCCTATTCGGGGTCTTTGTGATTCTATGCAATTTTGGGGGTGGTTTTCTAGTTCTCTGAAAAACACGATTTATTTTTATAGGAATTATGTTGAATCTATTGATTGCTTTGGGTAGTATGGACATTTTAATGATGTTAATTCTTCTTGACCATGAGTGCAGTATATGCTTCTATTTATTTGTATCTTCTTCAGGTACTTTTTTCAGTATCTTCTAATTTTCCAAGTATAGGCTTTTACCTCTTTGGCTTAATTTATTCTTAGGTTTGTTTGTTTTTATGCACTTGTAAATGGGATTATTTTCTTAGTTTCTCTTTCTGATAGTCTAGTTTTTCAATTGAAAAAAAGTATAGAAAATAATAAAACAAAATTTAAGAAATCATATCTTGCATCAAGTACAGTTGTGACCAAGGAGCATTTATACCAATATTACAAAGTTAGTTTAGTATTCAAAAATCAATCACTATATTAGCATGCTGAAAGAGAAAAATCCGTAATCTCAGACTGGCAGGGGAGGGACGTTGGGTGCAGATCAGGTCGTTAGGGGAGATCAGTTGGCAAAATCAGGCCGGCAGGGGAAGGCAATTGGGGACAAGCAGGCCAGCAGGGTAGGGATATTGGGTGCAGATTAGGATGGCAGGGGAGGGCCATTGGGGGCAACCAGGCTGACAGGGAAGGGCAGATAGGGGTGATCAGGAAGGCAGGCAGAGAGGTTAGAGGTGATCAGGCAGAGGGGTTAGGGGCAATCAGGCAGGCAGACAAGTGAGTGGTTAGGAGCCAGTGGTCCCAGATTGTGATCCCTGTGGGATCAGGCCTAAACTGGCAGTCAGACATCCCCGAAGGGGTCCCTGAGTGAGGGGGTGCAGGCTGGGCTGAGGGAACCCCCACTCTGTGCATGAATTTCATGCATCTGGCCACTAGTATATAATAAAAGGCTAATATGCAAATCGACCGAATGGTGGAATTACCAGTTGCTATGACATACACTGGCCACCAGGGGGCAGACAATGCAGGAGCTGTCCTCTGGTGGTCAGTGCACTCCCACAGGGGGAGTGCCAATCAGCCAGAAACAGGGCTCACAGCTGGCAGAGTGCAGTCAGACGTCCCCCGGAGGGCTACCGGATTGTGAGAGGGCACAGTCCCGGCTGAGGGATGCCCCCCACTCCAGTGCTTGATTTTCATGCACTGAGCCTCTAGTATAGTATAAAGGAGAAAACATAAAAATGACCAATGAACTGTTGATAGTTGAACAAATGCATTAATATTAATGTGGCTTAAAATTAGAAAACAATTCTATCCCTACTTTCAACTTAATTAGAACCAGAAAAATAAAAAGTAATATCAAGGATTGGTGAGTATTAAGAGTGAAAATGGATGCAGTCATTTTGTTTGACAGTATATTTCAAAACTAATAATGTTCATGAGCATAACCTATTACTTTTACTTAAAGAAATGTATCCTGCAAAAATAGTTCTGCAAATATAAAAGAATGTTTTTCATAGCAAAAATATATTGTTAGAGCAAAACATTAGGCCAACCCAAATATAAATAAATAGAATTTAGTCAGCTATCCAGTGTTTTTAGTGGAAAGCAATTCACGAAATATATTTTATGTCAATAAGTATGTATAGATAGCACATTTAAAAAAATGAATGCATATGCCCAGCTGGAGTGGCTCAGTGGTTGAACATCGACCTAGGAACCAAGAGGTAAGGTTTTGATTCCCAGTCAGGGCACATGCCCAGTTGTGGGCTTCATCCCCAGTGTGGGGCCTGCAGGAGGCAGCCAATCAATGATTCTCTATCATTAATGTTTCTATCATTCTTTCTCCATTTCCCTTTCTCTCTGAAATCAATAAAAAAAAATATATGTTTTTTAAAAAATGAGTTTATAAACCAAATGCAGTTTATTCTGTTTCTTTGTTCAACATTTCCTGTTGAATATCATTCTGTGTAATTATTCTTCAACAAAATTTTAAATGTTGCCTAATATTTCATAATATGAATATTAAATTATTTAATCTTTACATTAAAAAACATTTTATTGTAGTTCTACATCATATATAATTTCTTTAGGACAAATTTCCAGAAGTAGAATTTACTGGGTATAAAGTGTTATTTTTTAAAAGGACTCTTAATTACCATCCATTTGCTTTCTAGAAAGTTAGATTGAAGAGTCTGTATGTGTTTGAAATCCTGATGAATATTTAGTGACACTATAAATAAACGAATATTTAGTGAAACTATAAATCCTCTACCTTTTGTACTACATCTTCTGCTAACCTGTGATTATTTAGAGACAGATTAGCTTATTAGTGGCCTGTCAAGAGTTACAGTGTCGCCTTAGGTGGTTTGGCCCAGAGGGTAGAGCATCTGCCTTTGGACTGAGGGATCCCAGGTTCGATTCCAGCCAAGGGTACCTGCAGGCTTGATCCCCAGTGGGGGTGTGCAGGAAGCAGCCAATCAATGGTTCTCTCTCATCATTGATGCTTCTGTCTTTCTCTCCCTTTCCCTTCCTCTCTGAAATCAATAAAAGTATATCTTTTTAAAAAGTTACAATGTCTTGACCATTTCATTCCTTGCTTACTGTGCATAATATCTCAGTACTTTGAATTGTAGCTTTCTTCTTGGCTCAATACAATTGACAACCAGAAATTGGTAAGAGTCTGATGTTCACCACAATCCTGTTTATTGGTCTGAGAATTAATAAGGGCTTACCAAATTTATAATTTTGTGAGTTTTATTTTGCATGAAATTAATTCTATAAATAAAGAGGTTGGTATTTGTTATGGGGGAAAATATAATGCTATAAGAAAGATGGAAAGTTCTCAGAATTTTTCAGTTTTAGATAGTGTGACTAGTGTAGAGCTCACAGGAAAAGTAAAATTTGAGAAAATAAAGTATTTGAGAGAGTTGGCCATACAGATGTTTGAGAGAAGAGAATCACATGCAGAATAGCCAGTGCAAAAGGTCTTAACAGAGGAGTGTACCTGCCATGTTTGAGGAGCAGCAAGGAAGCTATTGTGGCTGGAGAGGATTAAGCAAGGGAGAGAATTGTAGGATAATGTCAGAGAAGTAAAGAAATAGGGAGGCTAGGTCATGTAGAGTCTTGTAGGCCATTGTAAGATTTTTTGACTTTTGCTCTGGGTGAGATGGCAAGACATTAGAGAGTTTTGAGCAGAAGAGTGACATGATCTGACTTGTGTTTTAAGAATATCACCCTGTGTTAAGAATAGACTATAGAGAGGCAAGGATACACACAGGGAAATTAGTTAAGAAGCCACTGCAATATTCTAAAGAAGAGATGATGGTGGCTTGGTCCAGCATGGTAGTGAAGAGGATGATAAATGATCAAGTTCCAAATACATTTCAAAGGTAGAAGCTGCATGTTTTACTGAAAGATAGGATGTGGAATATAAAGGGAAAAGGGGAGTTAGTTAAGAATGTTTAAATGTTGGTTGTCATTGAATTTTCATTGAAAATGTAATGACTTTGGAAATAAGGTTTTGCTCTAGACTTGATAATGTTTCTAATTAAATTCAACTTAAAATTTAAAAGCAACACTTTTATGCAAAACTTAAATGTAATAAAGTCATTTAGACACCTAATTTTGTTTGAATCACAAATAATATCAAGCTGCTTTATACATTTCCTGTGCTGTTCAGAAATTAAAACAGGAAGCAAAATCTTTATTCCCACACAAATTTTGCAGCAGATATATTTTCTGAGATCATGCTACGGACTTTATATTTATAGTCTATTTATGGCTTTAAACCTCATAGGCTGTTATATAATACACTAGAGGCCCAGTGCACAAAATTCATGCATGGGGTGAGAGGGTCCCTCAGCCTGGCTTGCACCCTTTTGCAATTCAGGATTGCTGCCTCCTAACCACTCACCTGCCTACCTGCCTCATCGCTCTTAACCCCTCTGCCTGCCTGCCTGATCACCTCTAACCACTCTGCATGCCTTTCTGATTGCCCATAACCACTCGCCTGCCCGCCTGATTGCCCCTAACCACTCTGCCTGCCTGCCTGATTGCCCCTAACCACCTCTGCCTTGGCCCCTGCGCAGTGGCTTGTTTTGGAATGATGTCCAGAAGGTTGTTCAGTTGTCTGGTCTAATTAGCATATTACATGTTTATTATTATATATTATTCTGGCTCGGGCCTTTTTAAAAAAATCTATTTTACATGTTGAAATGCTTTAAATTTTATTGTGAAAAATATTTTTGATGGTTAAATAATATATAATTATATGACTACAGATAAGTTCTAGCTCTTTAAACAGTTTGCATCTTTCCAGTCTCTCCTGCTAATCCTTACCACAACCTTGATACTCTAGTAACACAGAATTTTTTATATACAGTTCCTCTGTGTTTTGCTTGTATTGCCATCTGCCTATTGTATTTTCTCTTGTATTTTCCCAAACCTGACTAACTACTGCTCTTAATTTTAGACTCGTTTGAGGTGTCATCATCTCCAGAAAGCCTTTTTTAGCCCCTTTCTCCCAGGCAGGCTTGGGTTAGGTGTCTTTAGTACTTAACAAACTGTGCTTAATCTCCCTTATTGTTTGGGGTGTTCTGTTTTTAAAAAAATGTTTTTATTGATTTCAGAGAGGAAGAGAGAGGGAGACAAATAGAAACATCAATAATGAGAGACAATCATTGACTGGCTGCCTACTGCATACCCCATACTGGGAACAGAACCCGGACATGTGCCATGACTGGGAATTGAACCCTGACTCCTGGATCATATAATAGGTCGATGCTCAACCACTGAGCTATGCTGGCTGGGCTGTTTTTTTGTTTTGTTTTGTTTTCTGTTTCATTTGCTAGAGTTTGAACTCTTTAAGATAAGAACTATATTTTAAAATTATCTTTATATATCTACAATTAGTACTATAGATCCTGTATGGTAGATAAAAATATTTGGGTAGTAAATCTTTCTAGTGCATCTTGCAGTAGATATGTAACCTAAAATTAAGATAAACTTATGTTATCTCTGTGTAAAAGTTTGCTCTATTGCATATGCTTATTTGTCATAATGAACACAAACACTGGATTAAAATGTGTATTTCAAAGGAAAGACCAAAAAATAAAATAAAATAATAGAAAGACAGAGTATTATATGCAGCTTTTATAGGGAACTAGAACTTAAGTTTAATGGCTGTTCTGTATTTTGTACAACTCTGAAATGTAAGGCTTTTCCATGTAATCTCATGCCAATGTTGACCATGTGGATTAAAATAGCCCCATTTTAATCTATGACCAAATTAGGAATAGAATATCTATCCAGTGGGGATTTGTAAATTATTGTAGTTTGTAGCATGACAGGTTTATATAAATAATTGCAGTGATTCCCACTGTTTTAAATGAAAGTCTTAAGTTCAAATAGAGAAATGTAATCATACAAGTATGTGATTATTTAGCATGTTTGCCTTTGATATCTTAAATTAGTTTCTTTAAAAAAATATATTTTATTGATTTTGTAAAGAGAGGAAGGGAGAGAGATAGAGAGTTAGAAACATCGATGAGAGTGAATCATCGATCAGCTGCCTCTTGCACACCCCCTACTGGGGATATGCCCGCAACCAAGGTACATGCCCTTGATTGGAATCAAACCCGGGACCCTTCAGTCCCCAAGCCGAAGCTCTATCCATTGAGCCAAACCGGTTTCGGCAATTAGTTTCTTTTTTAAAGGACCATCAAAACTGATGATAAAGAGAAAAGTTTATTTCATTAATTTAAAATGTTTACTCATGGGTTTCAATTAACATTTGATATGTATTTAAAATACCAATAACTAAATAATTATTCTTAATGTACGTTTATAGTATAATTGTTTTCTAAGACATCCTAGGAAGTCAGATTTTAATGAAAACATTTCAATAAAGTTAAGTCATTCCAGAATTTATTTAAAGCAATTCTTTGTACATTAAACATTTCTCTATTTTATAACTTTATATTTTACTATATGTTACAAAATAATTTCAACAAATTTCTTTGTTTTTCATTATTTTTCAAGAGCCTAAATGTAAAATAAACAGTGTTAGTTATGATGTTTCAGTGATTTAAAATGATGAACTTTTCTTTTCATACAGATAAAGACACAATAAATAAAATTAGAGATTTACGAATGAAAGCTGAAGATTATGAAGTAGTGAAGGTGATTGGTAGAGGTGCATTTGGAGAAGTTCAGTTGGTAGGTTATTTTTTTAAAATATGATTCAAAATAGAAACTTTTTAAAATTAAAAAATGCACTTGTTAACACAAAAGTTCATTATTTTGCATTTTCAATTTTAAAGGTAAGGCATAAATCCACCAGGAAGGTATATGCTATGAAGCTTCTCAGCAAATTTGAAATGATTAAGAGATCCGATTCTGCTTTTTTCTGGGAAGAAAGGGACATCATGGCTTTTGCTAATAGCCCTTGGGTTGTTCAGGTATGATATTACTATTCTTTCATTTTTGCTATACTAGTTTGTTAATTAAACATATCTGAGAAGCTTAGTTTCTTTTTCAGAACAGTAATAGAGAACTTATTGGCAATTACAGAATTGTCTAATATACTATTATCTTTAAAATCATAACATTTAGTTTTATTGAATCAGCTCCATGAGAAAAGTAAGGTTAAGGCAAAACAGAATTTAAATATTAGAAATTTTAAATAATCTGCTTTAATTTGGAGGAAGTCATATATTATTATACTCTAAATATACTTGCTTAATATTGAAATTGAAATTATTTTCCCCAAATATAAGGTCTTATATTATTTATTTACCTATTCATCTATTTGTCATTCTCATTTTGTGGAGAGGAAGGAATGGAAAAAATGAGAGGTAAAGTGAGTTCTGCGAGGCCTCCAAATAATAATATATTCGCTTTAGGCTTTCCATGGGAAAAAGAGCCTATAGCTTGAGTCCTGGTCTTCACCATGGCCTGTCTATGAAACTGTGGCGAGGTTATTTACATCTCTGGCCACCGACTTCCTTCCTCAAAATGTGCAAGTTGGCTTAAATTGGTTATTTTATTGGTATGTGGAGATACTGCAGGTGAAATCATACGGAGAAGCAGGAATTTGGGGTTGGTTATAATTCTAGATTTTCTATTTCTGCCTAAACTACAGCTCTGTAATATATATATTAGAGTTCTAATATATATATTAGAATCCTATTGTAAGATTTTGTATGGTAGAAGTAAAGTCTTCTGGTTTAAAAAAAAAATGAAACTATTGGGCTAGATCATTTCTAATTCCTAACATGTGTTTTGGAATCTATCTATCATCTATTTACAGTATATAATGAAGTATATCCTAACTAAGCATCTTAGTAATTGTGATAAGAAGCGTATGGAAAATGTTTAAGGTTAACATAAGGAGGCTTTTATACTTGACTGTCTATTCTTTTTTTTTTTTTTTTTTTTTTTTTTTTTAATCAGCTGTGTATATTATGGTTTTCTGGGCTCAGAATTATATGACATTTTGAGCCAGGTAATTGTTTATTGTTGAGGCCTATTCTGTGCATTATAGGATTTTTATCAGCATCCTTGGCTTCTACCCAGAGAATGCCAGTAGCACTCCTCCCCATTCCCACACACCGTTTTTTGTTTTGTTTTGTTTTGTTTTTAAATATATTTTATTGATTTTGTACAGAGAGGAAGGGAGAGAGATAGAAAGCCAGAAACATCTATGAGAGAGAGTCATCGATCAGCTGCCTCTTGCACACCCCCCACCGGGGATGTGCCCGCAACCAAGGTACATGCCCTTGACCGGATCGAACCCGGGTCCCCTCAGTCCCCAAGCCGACACTCTATCCATTGAGCCAAACCAGTCTCGGCCCACACACCGGTTTTAACAACCAAGATGTATTCAGACATTATTGTCTCCTTGGGTTGGGAATTACCAATACAGAAAAAATATCTGCTGTTCTGTAGAGTTAAGACACAAGACATAATTGTTACTTTTAGGGTTTAAATTTACAATTTATGTGCTTGGAACTTTGTTTTTCTTGATACATTGTTTATAAATAAACCGCCACTAGTATCAACAATGTTTCTATAATTATGGTGCCCAGTTTATATCTGGGGTAGCATGAAATGCCACTTAGTTTCTTATCTTCCCCATATATTTATTTATTTATTTTAATCCTCATCCAGGATATTTTTCCATTGATTTTTAGAGAGAGTGGAAGAGAGAGGGAAAGACAGAGAGAAATATTGATGTGAGAGAAATACATTGATTGGTTGCCTCTTGCACTAACCTTGACCAGGGCCTGGGCTGGGGAGGAGACTGAAACCCAGGTACATTTCCTTGACTGGACTTGAACCCAGGGCCCTTTGGTCTGAAGGCTGATACTCGATCCACTGAGCCAAACTGGCTAGGGCTCCAATATATGTATTTTAATGAAAAGAACTAAATCTGGAGCCCATCCAGTGAGGCCCAGTGGTTTACCATCGATCTATATATGCACCAGGAGGTTGCCTGGTCAAGGCACATGCCCAATTGTGGGATCAATCCCCAGCAGGCGGCAGCTGATTAATTGAAGTTTCACTTTCTCTCCATCTCCTTTCTTCTCTCTCTAAAAGTCAGTAAAAACATTTAAAAATAACTAAATCTGAAACTGAAACAGATTTTTGATATAAGTGTTAGGTAAATTAGTTATATTTTTCTCTTGGGCTTATTCATGTTAGTTGGATTCTAATCTTATGTTTACCTAAAATGTTCTTTTGTAAATATGCTCTTGTTTTCTACAATCCTGGTTACATAATAAATGCATTTATGCCTAGCTTTCTTGTCAATTTCATATCAATGGAATTTTATCTTCTTGCTTTGAGTCTAGCTACTGCCTCTTACTGTTTCTTTGTTAGTTATTACTTGTCCTCCTTTTGACTACTATCATTTACTGAGCACCTGCTGTATTAAGTGCTGTATTAAGTGCTTTTTATATTCACTAATTTTTAAAACAATTCTGAAAGGCAGTTAATCCCTATTAGGTATAGTCCTAGTTTATAGATTAATTTATGCTTTATTTATTAGATATTTATTAAGCACTCACTGATTGCCAGACATCCAGATGCTGACTGAGCAGCAAATATAAAAGTAAAACAAGATATAATCCCTTACATTCTTCTTGAAGGGATTATAGTGACAGAGACTCAGGGAGGTTAAGTAAATTGCCCAGTCACACAGCTAATAAGGGACAGCTGAGACTTTTTGAGAATTGTGATTTTGATATAAATCAAACAGTAAACCGTACTACAGCACAATTTAAATTATAGCTAAACTATTTTTTTTGCTTAGGAGACTTGTATGAAACTATTATAATTTTTAATTCTCAGTATAAAATATTCAGTTTGTGTGTGTGTGTGTGTGTGTGTGTGTATGTGTGTGTGTGTGTGTGTGTGTGTGTGTGTATATATATATATATATATATATATATATATATATATATATATAAATAAAATTTCCCTGGCCGGGTTGCTCATTGGTTGGAACATTGTCCAAGGTTGCAGGTTTCATCCCCAGTCAAGGCACATACAAGAATCAACCAGTGAGTGCATGAATGAGTAGAACAACAAATCAGTCTCTCTCTCTCTCTCTCTCTCTCTCTCTCTCTCTCTCTCTCTCTCTCTCTCTCTCTCTCTCTCTCTTTCTCTCTCTCCCTCTCTCCCTCCCCCTTTCTTCTTCCCTATCTCCTTCCCTCATTTCTTTTCTCTCTTAAATCAATCAATAAAATTTAACCGAAGAAATATAGATAAAAAGTCTCCGCCTAAATCCTCAGAAATAATCACTGTTAACAGTTCCTTTACATATGTAAGGGTCTTTGTGGTGTTTATGTTTGTGTTCATTTCTGTTTTTAAAGATTACTACAACTCCTGCCATTTGACTATTTTAATTAAATATTTTTGCAAATTTTTAAATGAAACAATTTTGCTTAATCTTAATGAATTGTTTTTTTATTTGTATAGCTTTTTTATGCATTCCAAGATGATCGTTATCTCTACATGGTGATGGAATACATGCCTGGTGGAGATCTTGTAAACTTAATGAGCAACTATGATGTGCCTGAAAAATGGGCACGATTCTATACTGCAGAAGTAGTTCTTGCATTGGATGCAATCCATTCCATGGGTTTTATTCATAGGTAAAGATAAAAATGCTTTAAATTTTCTCATTTGTTGAAGAGAGAAGCTGAAAATACATAAACTTTATTCAATTAACATTTCCCACCTATTTTTTGTCTGTAGACATGAGTGGTATTCCAGAACTTAAAACTTTGAAATTTATAGTTTTAACATTTCAGGTTAATGTTTATATAAGTGTACTTTTTGCTACCCCTTAATTTGATTATATAGTTTTTATTTGTTGTTCTGAACAGTAAAAATTGTAAGCTGGTTTTCTGAAGTTTGTGCCAGAGTGTTAAACAATTTTTGTTTTTAATAACAAAAATTTCTTTTGATACGTTTTTATGTACAAATTTTTAAAATACAGATTAATTTACTTTTAATTAGTGAATATATCATATTTGTTAGAATAATTTTATTTGTTCTGCAAACACCATTTGAATTCATTGTGTAATTGCTATGCTAAGTTCCAAGGATACAAAATGAAAGTGACATAGATCCTGTCCTGAAATTATTTATGTGCTTATGTTGAGACATGTGTTTCAATTACTTTTTATGTCTAAATGGTACATTTTTATGGCTATTCTCTCAAATGATTTGATCCTACTCCCACTCCCTCTGGAAGAATCAGACTCTACATACTTGTCTTCTGAGGCATTACCATATAATGAAGTTTAATTTCTACATGTGGATAGAGAACATATACGGTCAAAAGTGCCATATCTACATTGAATGAGGAGAAATAGCCTAAAATAACTGCCTCATGTAATTTTTATTAGTATCTGATTTATTTCAGAAATGCTCTTTTTATTTTCCCCCCCCTCAGAGATGTGAAGCCTGATAACATGCTGCTGGATAAATCTGGACATTTGAAGTTAGCTGATTTTGGTACTTGTATGAAGATGAATAAGGTTAAATAATTATATTTTAATTTTGTTTTTGCTAATTCAAGACAGATGCTTTTTAGAAGATGTTATAAAAATTTACTAACCATAGCTGAACTTATACAGAACTGATGTGACCTATCCCATTTGTTGAAATAGACGCTACAATTGCAATGTTGTATTAGTAACTTGTGATTTATTTTTTTACTCTCTATTTAGGGAAAGTATAGATTGCCGGATTTACTAAATCCTTTATAATAACTCTCTAGTAAACTACTGGTACTAGAAATGGAAATAGTCCCTAAATACTAATGCCAGTGTTAAAATTATAGTTTCATAAATATTAGTTTTCAATAATGTGTATATTTTTAGCATTTTACTTAGTCTTTTAATATTTTACTTAGCCTCCTATTAACATTTTTGGGAGTCAGTCTTAAAAAGATACCCATTCTCACTGTTTATGTAATAACATGTATAGCTTAAGTAGCAGACATGCTGCTTTATTTTCAGTTGAAACAGTTTATATTCTTTGAAACTTAGCACAGAACAATATCCATAAAGTTGTATTTATTATTTTAAATGGAAGATTATTGGTTAGAAGGAAACACTACATGAGAACTTTTGTGTGAACATTTAATTATAATTCTATTGCATTAATACCAGCTAAAATAAGTAACAGGTATGTATAGTAACTTGACAGTTAAAATGCATATTAAATTTTCACTGTGCTTAACACTATTATGCCCTTTTCCCATGCTTTCCCATTTTATAATTGTACACTCGATTCTTATGTTTTCCTTAGTTTCAAGCATTGTTACATCAAACAATTATTTTATTTTTTAAAATCTTTATTGTTGAAAGTATTACATAGGTTCCTCTTTTTCCCCCCATTAACCTCTTCCAGAGCTCTCCTATCCTTGAACAGCTATTCTAGTAAAAAAATTAAATTAGCATTTATATATTATTATTATCAAATGATTCATCTTATTGGCCCCTCATTCTGTTTGCATTTGTTTATATACTTGTTCTCTGTGGTTAAGTTGGGATTATTATATTGGCACAACTGGGAGAATAATAAATGTTGGCAGTGTGTCTTGTATTATTACAAAATAAAAATCAGTTATCTATAACACATATGAATATACTGTGTACATAATAAGTATATATGATTAAGGTATTTGTTAATTTTGTTAAATTTGCATTAGATTTCGATATGATATTTTATAGCCCAATGATTTTGAGTTCTACAGATTACATGTCATTTTAAATAATTGAGACTTTATATTCTAATCAAAATTTGACCTGCAATTCATTTTAGGAAGGTATGGTACGATGTGACACGGCAGTTGGAACACCTGATTATATTTCCCCTGAAGTATTAAAATCTCAAGGTGGTGATGGTTATTATGGACGAGAATGTGACTGGTGGTCAGTTGGAGTATTTTTGTATGAAATGCTTGTAGGTAAGTAAAGGAGGATTTTGTGTACCTCTGATATAGTTGTTTATTCCAATATTTACCACTTAGTTTTTTGCTTATTATATTAAGCCATGTTGATTTGTTTATAGGAAACAAAGTGGTCCAAACCTTTGTGTGTGTGTTTTAAAAACTATTTAGAAGATGAAAGCAACTTTATGTATTTATTTTTACATATAAAGTGTATGTTTTGTATGTTTTTAGTTTATGTATGTCTAGTAAATCTTGAAACAGGTAGCAGTGAGTCTTCCTTTGAAACTGATTTTTTTAAATGTGTCTTATTGTGCTTTTATTTTCCTTGTCAATTTTTCAGGTGATACACCTTTTTATGCAGATTCTCTGGTTGGAACTTACAGTAAGATTATGAACCATAAAAATTCACTTACCTTCCCTGATGATAATGACATATCAAAAGAAGCAAAAAATCTTATTTGTGCCTTTCTTACTGATAGGTAAATAATTTTAACATTGAGTTTACTTCTTATTTTGCTGCTCAATTTTAAAGGTCTGTATCTGAGTACCTATGTTTGATGTTTTGGAATAAAAATGCTATCATTCCCAAAATAATTCATAACAGTGAAACCTAATATAGTTTTATGATTTTCTGGATGCCTTTTCTGGGTCTCAACTCACTTTCTTTACCTAAAAAACGGAAATACAATTCTTTTCTAATGGCTAGACCAGATGATTCTTTGTTTTTCATTGCTAAATTTTTAAGTTGGTTAAGTATAAAAATGATGGTAATTTTATTGAGTCTGAGATTTTTTTAAAACATGTTAACATCTCTGAAATAAAGTACATGTAAATATAAGTGTTGTAAATATAGGTGTTGTGCTATGTGTTAGGTGCTTGGGGTATAGAAATGAATGAGACACACAGCCGCTGTTCTTCACTACCTCATAGTCCTTTGGGGGAAATAGACAAGCAAATGAGACACTAATTGTACAGAGAGAGGGGAACTCTGAATTAAAACGTGTGTGCCATAGAATCATGGCGAGGTTCTGTAGTTCAGTCTGAGAGTCATTGAAAACTTCTTTAAAAAGTATCACATATCTGCCGAAACCGATTTGGCTCAATGGATAGAGCGTCGGCTTGGGGACTGAAGGGACCCGGGTTTGATTCCGGTCAAGATCCCCAGTAGGGGGTGTGCAAGAGGCAGCTGATCGATGACTCTCTCTCATCGATGTTTCTAACTCTCTATCTCTCTCCCTTCCTCTCTGTACAAAATCAATAAAATATATTTTTTAAAAAAAGTATCACATATCTAAAACAATTTGCCTTTTAACTCCTGAAAAAAATTGGAATTCAGGGTATTCTTATTGTTTATAAGTACTCTACTGGAGAACAAAAGTTGCTGAGTTCTTCTTTTAAAATCAGTTAAAGGCATATCTTTAATTTAAACATTATGTGTTCACTGAAGAGGCCAGAATCATTAACTTGTCTCAATAAAGCTCTCAAAGTCACAGTAATGTCAAGAATTATTATTTGTTTTTGATTGGTCAGAAATAATTACTAATAATAGATTATAAAATGGAAATTTAAAATGCCTTTCTGAATTTTTGTTAGCTTCTAGTGTGAAATAAAATTGTTGGTGGCAAAAAAATGTATAACTACCACCATTTTAAAAAGCTATCAAAAAATTTACTGCTTTATTTATTCTTATGAAGCAGCGTGAAATCATGTAGTATCAACAAATATATGTTGTTTTCTTTAAAAAATTTTTTTAGTATTCTCAGCATTCAACTTTTTTATTTAAGCTAAAAATTATGCTGACAGTCAGTATAATTTTAGGGTGACTTAGACCTATACTGGTATTTATCCTGTGTAAATTTGGCAATTATGCCCACAAGTAAATCTAGATAAATGATAATAATATCTTAAATTATTAATAACTTTTCTCCTTACTTCTTTATTCAGAGAGGTGAGATTAGGGCGAAATGGTGTCGAAGAAATCAAACGACATCTCTTCTTCAAAAATGATCAGTGGGCTTGGGAAACACTTCGAGATAGTAAGTTAATTTTTCTTGCATATCACAATGAATACTTGAAAGTAAATGGTAGTCTGTTCAAACTGCTTTGCTAATATATTGCGTATAGCTAATGAAAATCTAAAGTACACAGATGCAATATGGGTATTGTCCTAACTTAAAGAGAGAATATTTAATAGTATTGGGAAAATTGTACTGCTACTTCTTTTACATTACATTCAAATAACAAAATGAAATAATATATACATGTAATGGAGTTGGGCTCAGCAGTCACAATTTGGTTTTGAACTTGGTTGAATTGCTCTTTGTTTTAGACATTAATATCTCATTGTGAGAGAGTCAAAAAATAAAGGTTAATTAAGATATATTTCTTATGAAAATACCAGGTACTCTCTTATTTTTACTTAAACCTAACATAAAATACAAGGTTCTATTATTAATATGTTAATAGAATATTAATTTGTGTAAGTATATAGGAAATTATATATACTTGATTCCAGTAGGCTTGAAGCTTGCAATTCACAAATAAAAATATGTAGTATTCAAGAAGTTAATTTTCAGTCATTTTTAGAATATTTCTCTATTTTAAAAAAAGTTAAAACTATATGATAATTCACAGAAAACCTAACTCAACATAGTTCAATCAAAATTATAATGGCGCCAAAGTTCCCATCATCTTTGTGGGTTTGGGAAGCCAAGAATTTATCTTTCCACTGTTTAAGTCTCAGGAACTTTCTTCCCTTTTATTTGTCAAAGAAATGATATTGTATACCAGCCCCTCATTCCTCCCATAGTAATAGCAAGGAACAGTAATAATGGAAATGAACTCAACTGTGTGATTTTAGGAACAGTTACAAATTAGGTATCTGTCTTAAGGACTGCCTGTCTAGTTGAGACTTTCAGGGGAGAAAATTCTTACCAAGTTTGAAGAAATAAATTGTGTATGTTTGCCAAAATTTGTGAGGTATTCTAGTTATCAAATATTTTAAAAGAAATAGTTATATTGTGTTTGAGTACTGTGTATGTATTGCACTATGCTATAAAATTGAGTGAGAAAAGGAGAATAAATTCTTGTGGAAATCAAGAAATTATACCGCTAGACAGAATGACATTGAATGACCTGCTATCTGGAAAGCTACAGTAGCAGCTTGACCATGAGAAAACTTACTAGTACTTATACACTGGGAAGTAAGGAACTTCCTCTCCTCACAAGTAAATGTGACATGGTTGTTGCCTTCATGTTGCATGAGAAACTTGCAAGGCAGAGAGATGAGTAGCTAGTGAGGTGAAGAATGTTTGCATTGAAAAGCTCTATATTTTTATTCAAATTACGTTTAGTAATGTTTTAAAAGGCTGAAAACATACAAATCTGTTTATAAAACTTGAGGAAATTTAAAAGGGGACTGGAGAAATACAAAGTGTATTTTGTATTGCTTTAAATTCCTTTCCAAAGTGAAACAATGCATTAATAACTAGAATAACTGCACAATAAATGACTCTAAAATGTAAGGAAGGCATCATTTCCTTTTGTGTACAGAAAAGCTGATCATTAATTAGGAGGGGAAGGTAATCTAATCAACAAATATTGAACATTTATGTGCTGAGCACTATTTTATTCCAGGCACTAGGAAAACAGTGTTATCAACAAACGGTATTTACCTTGTATAGCTCATTCTAGTGGAATTGGAGGGTCCAAATCAATGGCATTTTATAATATTGTTGTACATCTTTAACATAACTGTTTATAGTTATGAAAACTGGTAAAATGAATTACTTCATTGACTTAAATCAAAAGAATTTTATATTTAAAGAATTTCTGTAATTATATAATTCTGTTAATATTATCATTTCTCTATTTTTTAAAGCTCTATAATGTTATCTGTGGCTTTGCTATCATATACTTACACATACTTGCAAACATTTTAATAGTTTTTCCTAATCCTAATAACTCCTATTTTGTAGTTATTTTAAAAAAATAAAGAAAAATTAGTCTATGGACTTTAATTGTTCTCTTCTTCTCTTTCTTTTTTCCTACCCCTTTCACTTCCCACCTCTAAAATACCAAAAATACTTTTATTCTGAACTTACCTTTCTGACCTCCTAAGTTTTTAAGAGTTATATAACAGTTTTAATTGTTTTCAGTTCTCTAATTTTTGTTGGCAAAATTGCTTAACTTATGCAAATAATTGTTCTTTTAATAGTTTTACCACTTAGATATAAGTTACAATAAATCTTTACCATCTGTTCCTTGGTTGTGTGGGAGCAGGGTTTTGGCAGATTCCTAGGAGCTTTATGATCTTATTCACTCTTAATTTATAGGTACAACGTATTAAGTTTATAAAGTTACTTTTTCTAATAATTTGAGTTAGAAATAAAGAAATGACAGGTATGGCCGAAACCGGTTTGGCTCAGTGGATAGAGCATTGGCCTGCAGACTGAAAGGTCCTGGGTTCGATTCCGGTCAAGAGCATGTCCTTGGTTGCGGGCGCATCCCCAGTGGGGGGGGTGCAGGAGGCAGCTGATCATTGTTTCTAGCTCTCTATTCCTCTCCCTTTCTCTCTGTAAAAAATCAATAATATATATAGAAAGAAATGACAAGTTTGGGGTTAAAGACAGAAAGCAGAAAATTTGAAAAGACCTAAATAACTAGGCTATAGGTCGGTCACACTAGTGAATGACAATGCCAGGATTAATATCTAAGTCTGTTTGACTCCAAAGCCTTTGATTTTCTGGAATACCATGTACCACTTAAAGATTTTCACTATTTAGTATTATACAGATTAGAAATGTAGGGAATCAACAACTAGTTGGCAGTTAAATTTTGCTAATTTTATTTTTATTTTTAGCTGTAGCACCAGTTGTACCTGATTTAAGTAGTGATATTGATACAAGTAACTTTGATGACTTGGAAGAAGATAAAGGAGATGAAGAAACATTCCCTATACCTAAAGCTTTTGTTGGCAATCAACTACCTTTTGTAGGATTTACATATTATAGCAATCGTAGGTAAGTATGATTTTAGGGATAGGTACAAATTTGTGTTGCTGTATTTTCTTAGGGTATCTAAAAACTTTTGAAGAACTTTAAAGTAGATTTATTGGTATACAAAGAGATAAAATATCATTAAAATATATCATTTTTAGCAATGCATGATTTTTCTAGTATTTCATATTTAATTTCTTTCAGACTCATCCATGTTCAAGATATTGTTTTACAGAAATTCTTTTTTGAATTATATATTATATATCTTCAAGTTATAGCAATTACTAGGTTAAAAGCTTCTTTTAATACTAATATTATGGTTAATATTGTTATCCAAAGATTTCTGGTTTTATAATACATTTTAGAACAACATACAGTTTTCTAGCATTATCATCACTATATTGATGTTACCAAAGGCCTATAATTTTTAGTTCTTTGAAAATTGTGATTCCTTCTAAAAACCACCAAATGAATTCATAATATCTTACAACATGTAAGACCCTGTGACTTTAGGCTAGTGACTTTGACCTTTTATGCCCCCATTTTCTCAAAAATAGAGATGATTATGATAATGATAACACCAGTCTCATAGGGTTGTTTTAAAGGTTAAGTAAACCAAACCAATATAATAAGCAATACACTAGAACAACGCTTTATATGGAGTAAGCAGTCAGTGTTTATTATTAACTAGAGGCCCGGTGCACGAGATTCGTGTACTCGGTGGTTCCCTCAGCCTGGGAGCCTCAGAGGATGTTCAACTGTCGGCTTAGGCCTGCTCTCTGCTTAGTGGTCCTGCCACTGCTGCTGCTTTTGCCAGCCGTGAGCCTGGCTTCTGGGCTTCTGCCTGAGCAGCATTCCCCCTGTGCAAGCACACTGACCACCAGGGGCAACTCCTGCATTGAGCGTCTGCCCTCTGGTGGTCAGTGCGCATCATAGCGACTGGTGGTTCTGCCATTCGGTCTGTTTGCATATTACCCTTTTATTATATAGGATAGTATAAGCTAAGGTTAGCTTTCGTTTTTAAAAATGGACTTGAAATATAAGTTAAACATTTAACATCATTTCACTTTGCTGAGCATTTATTTATTCATTCATTCAACAGACATGTTTGACAACTTACTCTTTGTCAGGTATATACTAAGCATCAAGGTACAGGGAGAGGATGAATAAGATATAGTACCTTCTCTTGAGATGCTAACATCCTAGTGAGGATATGGATAGGATTGTATAGTATAGGTTTTAAGTGCTACACAGTAGAAATCTGAACTAAGCTGAAGCTGGTTTGGCTCAGTGGTAGAGCCTTGGTCTGCGGACTGAAAGGTCCCGGGTTCGATTCTGGTCAAGGGCACGTACCTTGGTTGCAGGCGCATCCCCAGTGGGAGGTGTGCAAGAGGCAGCTGGTTGATGTATCTCTCTCATCGACATTTCTAGCTCTCTATCCCTCTCCCTTTTTCCTCTCCGTGAAATATCAATAAAATATATTATTAAAAAAAAAAAAAGAAATCTGAACTAAGTGCTGTACCAATATACAATGAACTATATGGCAACATTTACTAGGTGTGTTAAATCTATTTATTAAATTTATGTTTAAAAATAAATTTTTTATTTAAATGATACTTCATTAGACTGGATTAAGTATTTTTTATTGCTTGGAGTAATTATTAAATTTGAGGATATTACAAGCTAAACTTTATTTTAAAGTGAAGTGTCTTGTCTTTTAGTCAACTTTTTTTTATAAGTGCTAATTCAGGTCAAATTTAGGAAACAAGAAGGCAATTTAATCCTGGCTTATGAAATTATTTATAATAACCAAATGTTAAACAGTATTGAATACTTGTTGCATCACCAACCAGGTAAGTAGTACTTGAGTTTTGGCCCTTAGAAAAGTTCCAGGTTTTAATTCTTTTTCCCTCCTAACCCTTCATGAGTATAATACTACGGCTCTTTTATACTGAAATAAATACTCAGAGAAGCTTTAAAGTACTTTATGCTGAAGTATCCTTTCAAATTTTTTTTTTGTAGTTTTATAAATTATTTTCTGTCTTGGTTTCTGAAACACTCGAGATGTTGATGTCAACATCACCATGTTTTTTGGATATTCTTACATAATAATTACTTTATTTAGGCTTATCTCTACAATGCTAATTTTGAATTAGATAAACATTGTACAGTGTTGTCATACACTTGATTATGTTCTCTGGTTTTTCCTTATACTCATTTTTCTTTTGGGATAGTTACATATCCCATACTATCTTCTGAGGTTCTGAAAAGTAGAAATTGAACTCTGGTCTTAAGTACCATTATCTTATTGAGTAGCATAGCATTTTTTGGTAATTATGTATTATGTGAATGACCAGGGGATGGTTGTTTATTGATTAGCCTTACTGTAATACATAATATGTAAACATAATTTTGAATTACTGGCATAAAATAGAAAACTTCTGAAAATGTTGCTTCTGAAACCTAAACATACTTTTAATTATTAAGGACAGAGATTTTTCTTGCTAACGTATATCTGAATTTAAAATGATTTAAAAATATCCTTAAACTTTTTAGCTACATCTCTAATCATCTACCATCTCTTTAACAAAAGTTACCTAAATGACCAGATTCTATATAAAAGCAACAATATAATATGCAAAAGAAACTTGAAAAAGAAAATAAGGCAAGAAGTAATAGAATAAATGGATGTATACTGGTGTGTTTTTACATTTCCAGTGCTGCATTCAAAGCAACATTATTAATTTTGAAGAAAGCTAAATAACAATTTCAACTTATACATAATACAAAATTTACCATATTAAATTTAATGGCATATTAAATTTAGAAGACATCTTAGAGTTCAATGAGTGTTATCTCCTATCTAATTCAGATTTTATTGGTATTGCTATATACTTCCATTTACAGAATGCAGAATCTCACACTGAATTTCTGAATTACTTAATAGTCAGTGGAATTGAATTGTACTACATCTAGAATTTATCCTTTTTTTCAGGGGATTTTTTCCTTACCCATCTACTGCATAGTCCCAGTTGTCACCTGATTATTTGAGTCTCTAGTTGATCGGAATTATTTTCAAGGAAAACATAGGAAATGACATTTTCCTGCTGATTTAGATCACCATTAATATATGTTTTTTTAAATATTAACCCAAGGATATATATTTTATTGCTTTTAGTGACTTTAGTGAAGGGGGGGTGGAGAGATAAAGAGAAACATCGATGTGAGAGAGGAATATTGATCAGTTGTCTCCAGTATGTGTCCCTACCGGGGACTGAGCCAGCCGCCTAGGTATGTGCCTTGATCAGGAATCAAATTTGCAACCTTTTGGTGTACAAGATGACACTCCAATCACCTGAACCACCTGGCTAGGGCTGTTAAATATGTTTAAAAGTAGTTAAAGGACATTTGATTACCTTCTATTTTTTACTATTAGTATCTAGCACATTAATATTGCCCCATACAGTATACTGTAGCTATTTGATATCTTTTTGAGAAAGCTCTCCTGATTAATCAAGGCGGTGGCTATAGTGGTGATGATAGAAGTATTAATAATAGTATTTGCAGCATGGCAAAGATAGTAGCAGGGGAAGTGGCAGCAGCAGCATTAATACCTAACATGTATTCAGTTTTTAAAAAGCAGTGCAAGACCCAGGTGACATGGCTCAGTGGTTGAGTGTCAACCTATGAACCAGGAGGTCACTGTTCAATTCCGATCAGAGCACGTGCCCGGGTTGCAAACTCGATCCTTAGTGTGGGATGTGCAGGAGGCAGCCGATCAATGACTTTCTCATCATTGATGTTTCTCTCTCTCTCTCGATCTCCATTCCTCTCTGACATCAATAAAATATATATATGAAAAAAAAGAGCACATATAATACTGAATAAAAAATAAACATGTAGTATTTGTTATCAATTGTTATTGGACATTAAAGAATTTTTTGTTTTGTTTAATTTTAAAATATTTTTTCCTTCAGATACTTATCTTCAGCAAATCCTAATGATAACAGAACTAGCTCCAATGTGGATAAAAGCTTGGTAGGTATTTTCTTGTTCTTTTAAAAAGGTTGCCTTGTAAATAATGTATTTTGTGTGCATGATATTAAGTAAACATATTCTTTTTTTAAATAAATTTTTATTATTCATATTATTACAAATGTTCCTTCCACTCTCCCCGCTCCATTGCTCTCCTCCACCAGGTTCCCACCCCACCCTCTGCCCTTTCCCCACCCCCCATTGTCCTCATCCATAGGTGCACAGTTTATGTTCAGTCTCTTCCCATATCCCCCTCTCCCCTTTTCCCCGAGAACCGTCAGTTCACTCCCCTTCCATACCTCTGATTCTATTATATTCAACAGTTAATATTGTTCATCAGATTTTTTTTTTAATTTCTTTGGCTTTTAGATTCACTTGTTGATAGTTACATATTTGTTGTTCATAATTTTTATCTTTATTTACTTTCTCTTCCGAAAGAACGCCCTTCAGCAATTCATATAATTCTGGTTTGGTGGTGATGAACTATTTAGCTTTTTTTTTTTTATTAGTGAAGCTTTATCTAAAATTTTCTACCCTCTAATCTATTCACTTTGCTATTACTGACGTGATCTTTCTAAAATGCCAATACTATGTCATTCCCTTTTTTAAAATGCCTATTCTTGCATACAAGGATCATGTTCCCACTCACCTGTTCAGATTTTAGGTGATTCATTCTCTGTTATGTTGTGTGCTTTACCTATACTTAAATTCTACTTCCCAAATACATTATATTTTCTCCTCCTCTCTACTTTTGGAAGGTTAAAATGCCTTCCTTCTGTCACCTTCTTGCTTGGTAAATATCTTTTATTTTTTAGGTCTCACCTTATATTTTACATCTTCCTGGAAGAATTGGATATGATCTCTCCTTCATAACATTTTATATATAATTTTATTATTATTTATTATATTATATTGTAATATTTTTAATGTGTCCATGGTTTACTGTAGGTTCTTTTCACCCTCTCATTCTCCTATGCCCCACTATTTAACTATTGACCAAATCTTTATTTTATTTTATTAATGCCTTACTTATGTTTAGGTGTTGGGGGGTAGAGGGAAAAGAGTAAACAGTGTAAAATGATAACATAAACTTGCTATTTTTAAAATCTCTATGAATACTCTTAGTAGAATGAGTTTTATTTTGTTTTCAATTAAAGCAGGAAACTTTGCAAAAAACAATATACAAGCTGGAAGAACAACTGCATAATGAGATGCAATTAAAAGATGAAATGGAGCAGAAGTGCAGGTGAGAATAAGATATATGTTTCTTACATTGAAAGTTGTATAGTGAAGCTTACTTAAAACTTGCACTCTATAAACACTTGAAAGTAGAAGTAAAGTGCTAATATACAGTCAATGAAGAATGTCTGGGTTAGAATTGGAAAGTAATATGTATGTTGGTATGTATTAGTTATAGTTGTCTTTTCCTCAGAATATAAACTGTATTTGCTCCTCATGCTCTTATTAAAAAACTATATAGTGCCTGATTTATTGCTTTTCTCTCCCATTATAATTAGGTAGCTAAAAGAGCAAATTTAGTTTACATTAGTTTACATTAAATTTCTAAAATGTGAATGTTGTATAAGATTAAAATTCATTACATTTTTGATACATTCTTTTTTCCACTGTGATTTTTTAGAGCAGTAATTCAGAATGTTTTCCTATGAGTCTAAATTTGATAAGTGTATATTTATGAAAATGTAGAAAGATTATTTTAAATAGCAGCTTAATGGTGAGTTATTTATTACAAACAATATATTTTTATTCTTATTTTTTAGTGGATATATTAAGTAAATAAAATACAGAGATAACAGATAAAGTATGCAACAAATGGAATTGGGAAAACTGGCAATTTTGTGACTGGGATTAAGAGAAAACAAGTAAAATTTTCACTGCATACCATTTCTGATAGAATAAATAGCAAAGCTTATAATATAAACATTTTTTTATAAAAGCACTTGAATATAAGCAAATAATTGATACCGGGATTGGAATGAATTTCTAAGTATAAAATATGGAAATGGTGGGGGTTGGAGAATAAATAGATGTTATTACATAAATATTGAAAACTTCCTACATCCAAAAAATACTATAATTAGTGGTAGTGGTGGTGGTGAGGATCAATTTGGGTAAGAAATAAGAATGGCCATAGTGGCCAGTAGTCACAGGAAATGTGAGGTTTGTGGGTGCTCAGGTTGAGGCTAGGAAGGTCAGCAAAATCTGGATCTTGGAGGACTTTTTTATGACACACTAAGAAATTTGTAATTTTTATTCTAAACACGACACTTATTGAAAGTTATTAAACTAATATATTGAAAAACATTGAAAGTTATTAAACTAATAACTAAAAACAAAATAACAACTTGAAATAGAAGTAAAAACATAACAAATTTACTTCTGTTGTTGTTAATCCTCATCAGAGGATATTTTTTCCATTGATTTTGAGAGAGAGAAAAGAAAAATATCTATCCATGTGAGAGACACACATCAATTGGTTGCTCCTGCGTGTGTCCCACAAGGGCTAGGGATTGAACCTGCAACCCAGGTATGACCCAAATTGAACCTTTTGGTGTGCGGCCAATGCTCTAACCACTGGGAACACCAGCCAGGACTCAAATTTCCTTTTTAAAAAGAACTGATTAACTGGCAGCAGTTGACATTTATTAACTCAATTAAATGGGAATGAGGGAGGAAGGTCAATCAAGGATGATTTCTAGTGGTGTCCTTTACTTAGGGACACTTAAGAAGCAGATTAGTTTTATGGGTAAGAGTGTAGAGCAAGGAGGGAGTAAGTTTAGTTCTGGAAATGCTGAATGAGTTATTTGAGGGGATATTCATGTAAAATATTGTATATGCAAATGTGAAGCTCAGAATTATGTTTAGAGCCAAAGAAAATGAATTGTGATAGAGATAATACACTTTTAGTTTACCTAAAATTTTTGCTCAAGTTGCTAATGAGTATAATTACTGATTTATATATGCTACATTTCCCTTATTTACTTTATTTTGTATTAAAGGATAAGTGGCTAATTTTTATTTAGAATCAAATATTACATAAGCAACATGGAATGGGAAGTCTTTTAAACTTGGATGAGAAGAAGTGAATATTTTCTCTAACTTATAAATGAAATTCAGCATTTCCTTTATGAACATCTGCAAGAAACCACACTTATTTGCAGTAGCTGTGAAATTGTTATTACCAATAGAAATTACAAATATTTTCTTATAATACAATTTTTATCTCTAAATATTATTTGTGCTCACTACTACTTTGAATTACTACCACTAGATCTTGTGGTTTAATAAGCTAACAAAGAAGCACACATATTACTAAATCATACTTTTTTAAAAATTTATGACTGTATTTCAATATCTTGGCTTTTTTTTTTTTAATCCTCTGTATTTTATTTAATGCTAAAAATATTATTTGACAAAAGGCAGTAGACTTCACCAGACTGCCAAAGAGATACACAGTATAAAAACAGTTAAGAAATCTTAATGGAATGGAAAAATGAGAAAAGTAGAATTCTACCCATGGTTAATAAAAAATAGGCATATTTTTAATATATATTGCTTTTGTTTTTACAGAACTTCAAACATTAAAATAGACAAAATAATGAAAGAATTGGATGAAGAGGTAGGTACTTTTGGCTTTCTAATCAGTAGTAGTTTTTTTATTTTGAAAGTTTACCCCACTCAGATTGTTTTGTTTTCTGAGAAAATTACATTTGAACTTTATAGGTTGAAATACAAAAATTTATCGTGAAAGCTTCACGAGTTGTAGTTTCAAGTGATGCAGATTAGATTATACTTTAGTTTATTTTGGTATAGTTTTATTGTAGAACAGTGTTGAAGTTTTAGCACAAAAATTTTACTTCAGTTCTTAATAGTTGAAACTCAGTGAGAAAGGAGCAAAATAATCAAGAGATCAGAAATTGAATTTACAGCCATAGCAGAAAGAAACAAATAAGAAAGAGGAAAAAATACAATTTTAAAAGGATTGATATTAACATAATTTCAAGTGCTCAAGTGGGAAATACATTGATTTTTAAATTATTTATGTTTTCCATGGTCACCTAACAAGCAGTTTTTATTATTAGTGAAACATTTCACAATACATATGTTTGTTTGCAAATATGTAATCCTTTCCTCTTGGTCATCTTGTAAATGTCTTTTTACCTCCTGTACTCTGTATAGTCTTCCTCTCTTGATGACTTCCTTTATAATTTTAGAAGTAATTTTTTTGATAGTTTTCGTGTTTTTTTAATTTTCTCTTAAGGAATAATGGCTTTTTGTGGGGGAGGAGGTTCATTTGTAGCTTTGGATATCCATATAATCATCTGAGGAGATTTAGATAATATTTTATCAACTTGCCATTGGTGTTTGTATATCCAGCCTAGTACTGTTTATTTGACTCTAAATAGTTAAGAAATCCTTTTTTTGTATATCCTCCACTTTTTATTTAATTTCTAAAATACAAATAAAGTTCAAGTGTTCTAGATTCAAGTTATTCAGCCTTCCAAATTCAAGGTAGAAAGAGAAATCTTAATTATAACGTTAGAATACATCTGTCCCCACCTTATTTGCTAAAATATATTTCTTTTTTTGTTTGTCTGATTAATATATTTTTATTGCCAAAACCGGTTTGGCTCAGTGGTAGAGCGTCAGTCTGTGGACTGAAAGGTCCCGGGTTCGATTCCGGTCAGGGGCATGTTGGCTGCGGGCACATCCCTGGTGGGGGATGTGCAGGAGGCGGCTGGTCGATGTTTCTCTCTCATCGACATTTCTGGCTCTCTATCTCTCTTCTTTCCTCTCTGTAAAAAATCAATAAAATATATTTAAAATATAAATATATATATTTTTATTAATTTCAGAGAGGAAGAGAGAGGGAGGGGGAGTTAGAGACATTAATGATGAAAGAGGATCATTGATTGGCTAGCTCCTGCACACTTCCTACTGGGCATCGAACCTGCAACCCTGCCATGTGCCCTTGACCGGAATCAAACCTTCAGTCCACAGGCCAACGCTCTATCCACTGAGCCAAACCAGCTAGGGCTGAAATATATTTCAAGACCCTGTAGTTGATGCCTAAAATACTCAATAGTATTGAACCCTATGTATACTATGTTTTTTTCTATATATGCATGCCTTTTCACTTGAAGCATTTTATGACTTCCCTTCAGCATATTTGAATTGCTAGCATCACTACTCTTGGGCTTTTGGGCCATTATTAAATAAAATAAGAGTTATTTGAACATGAGCACCATGATATTGTGACATTCAGTTTGATAACTAAGATGGGAAGCATATACTACAGACAGGGTGGATACTCGGCAAAGGAATGATTTACATCCTGAGTAATATAGAGCGTACAATGTGAGATTTCATCACATTGATCAAAATGGTGTGCAGTAGAAAACTTACGAATTGTTTTTTTCTGGAATTTTCAGTTTAATATTTCTGGACCTCAGTTGATTGTAGTTAATTGAAACCATGGGCAGTGAAACTGCAAACAATGGATTACTATAGTCTGCTTCTAGAAAGATGGTGTGAAAGTACTTTCCCCTATTCTGCCTACAAAATATAGCTTAAAAGCTTAGACATTAAATATAAAACAAATGTAAACATGATTCTGAATGTTGAAGAAGAGATAGACTAGCTAGAGGACTTGGTTTCCAAGAAACTATACAGAAATGAACATTATAGTTTGTCTTTTTGCTCCACATATCCTAGACTGGCTGCTGGAGAAGTCAGCAATCTGGAAAAACCAACAAGCATAGATTTAAAAAAAAAAAAAAAAAAAAAAAGCCACTCTCTCAAGCTAACAGACGAGGAAAAAGGCAGGCTAGCAAGTCTGAAAACTTTTACATAATCACTGCTCGTGCCAGCCAAATACAACATAAAAAATGTAACTCCCACCCCCACTGCAAAGGGTGAGTGAAAAGTCTAGACTTTCAGCGCTCTGGCACAGTGGTGTCAGAATATCCAAAGGAAGAACTTTCATATCCCCTGAGAAGTGACAAGCCTTCCGTCCCCACCCCACTTCCCCAGTTAGAGTCATTGGCAACCATGTAAGGAGTTTGGTTTTTACTTTCACTCATTAGCAACAGGCACCCCTCCCACTCTCTGCTGTGGTGGTGTCAGAAAAAGTCAAGTGCAGTATAAACCTTCAACACTGAAATTACGAGCCTGCCCCCACCCCCAGCTCCCAGCCATGTTATCAGTGGAGACCTAGTGGTGTACCAAAACTTCCATTTCCTCCCAGCAGTAATGAGGAGTCATGCCCCCTTCAATCTCTGTGTCAATAAAAATCAAGTGGAAAAGGAGGCATTACCTCTTAATCCCACCAGAACTGTGACAGAAGAGAACTGTTAGAAGACTTAAATAAGATCCAGAAAACTGGAAAGTCACATGCAAATGAATGAAACTGGATTACAGTTTGTCCCCACATACAAAAATTAATTCAAAATGGATCAAACACCTAAATATAAGACCCGAAACTTAATGGACTTCAAAACACTAGATATAAGGATTCTCAATGAACTTAGAAATTTAACAGCATGAAAGGATCTGAACACCTTAAAAAAAACCTGTCAGAAATGAAAGATATACTAAGTGAAATGAAGAACAATTTTAGAGAATCAGCAACAGGAGAGAGAGTAGATGAAGCTGAGAATCCAAAGATTTGGAATATAAGGAAGCAAAAAACATCCAATCAGAACAGCAAAAAAAATAAATTTTTAAAAATCCAACAAAATGAAGATAGTGTAAGGCACCTCTAAGTCTTCAGTGTAGTTAGTACTAACATTCACATCATGGGTGTGCTAGAAAGGAGAAGAGAGAGACAAATTTGAAAACCTATTTGTAAAACTTCCCTAACCTGGTGGAGAAAATGAAGCCCTGATCGGTCTTACTCAGTGGTTAGAGCTTCAGCCAATGAACCGAAGAGTCTTTGTTTCAATTCATGGTCAAGGGTATGTGGCTTCGTTGAAGGTTTGATCCCTGGCGCTGGCTTCGGTAGCACATATACTAGAAGGTTTGATCCCTGGGGCAATCAATCAATGTGTCTATCTCGCTCTCTCTCTCTTTTTTTTAATATATTTTTATTGATTTTTCACAGAGAGGAAGAGAGAGAGAGAGAGAGAGTTAGAAACATCGATGAGAGAGAATCATCGATCCGCTGCCTCCTGCACACCCCCACTGGGGATGTGCCCGCAAACAAGGTACATGCCCTTGACCGGAATCGAACCTTTCAGTCCTTAGGCAGACGCTCTATCCACTGAGCCAAACCAGTTTTGGCCAATGTGTCTATCTCTTGTCAATGTTTCTTTACCCCCTCTGTCTCCCTTGTACTCTCTAAAAAGTCAATAGAAAAATATATCCTTGGGTGAGGATAAAACAAAAAAATAAAAAATGAAGCACCAAAAGCAGGATATGCTGATAATGGTATCGATAACTCAGAAACAAGATAAGTTTTTAAGTTGTGGAAGTTTGGGTTGTTCCCCCCCTTTCCTCTCCCCTATGGTTTCATTTTCTAAGTAGGTATTTTCTCCATTCCCTTTTTTAAAAAAAAATACATTTTTTGTTTATTTCAGAGAGGAAGGGAAAGGGAGAGAGAAATAGAAACATCAGTGATGAGAATCATTGATCGGCTGCCTTATGCACAACTCACACTGGGGATCGATCTCGCAACCCAGGCATGTGCCCTGACAGGGAATCGAAATGTGAATTCCTGGTTCATAGGTCAATGTTCAACCACTGAGCTACGTTGGCTTGGCCTCCATTACTTTTTAGTATGCATTAGTAGGTAGATATATAAAAAAAAAATCTTAGAAAAGTTAAATTGTTGAGACAGGGAAAGGATTAAGGTAGATACACAGGGACTGTTTAATTTATTGCATTTGGTACCATTTGAACTTGACACAATTTATTTATCAAATATGTAATTATTACCTGATCCCTTTTATATTTTATATCTTAAATGTAGGGTTGTAAATAAACCAAAATGTTGGTAATATAATGTATTGTGGTTATCTTAAATGAATAAAGTGATTCAACCTGATAGGTTTTTTATATGCATGGATTTAAAACTCCTTGAAAAGGTTACATATCTAGTTCAAGTAGAGGATTCTCACTGTCTTATAGGACAAGCTAATTCTATTATTAGAAAATTGTCATTAGGAGGTACTATCTGATATTTGAAACAAAAATTAGGTAAGTCTTTGTGTTTTTGTTTTTAAGAACAGTGTTCTCTCAAATAAACGAGGAGTATCGCAATAACTCTTGTTATTATAATTTCAGGGGAATCAAAGAAGAAATCTAGAATCTACAGTGTCTCAGATTGAGAAAGAGAAAATGTTGCTACAGCATAGAATTAATGAATACCAAAGAAAAGCAGAACAGGAAAATGAAAAGAGGAGAAATGTAGAAAATGAAGGTAAATTATTACTTCTTTTGAAAAACACTGGAATTTCTGTCTAACACTATCCTTGGGGTCTTTGTCACAATCTTTTCTTAATTTTAATGCCTCTGTTCTGTTGTGTTTTTAAAATCATAATCCTATGACACCTCATGAGCTAAATACCTATATCTCAAGATAAAATATATAGTATATTAAGATCAGTAGTAATGTTTTAGGTAAAGTAGTGATTTTCACCATTGTGTATATATTGAAATCTCCTGGAAAACTTTAAAGAATACTGATACCCAACTCCAGAGATTCTAATTTAATTGATCTAGACATGTGGCCTGAACATCAGTATTTTTATTAAGCTCCTAGGCACTTCTAGCAAGCAGCCACCTTAGAGAACTCAGAAACTAGAATTTCATGTTTAATGTTAGTGTTACAAATGCTTCTAAAATAGTTTTCTAGCCCTTGCTGGTTTGGCTCAGTGGTTAGAGTGTGGGTCGGCCCAAGGACTAACGGGTCCTGGGTTTGATTCCAGTCAAGGGCATGTGCCTTGTTTGCAGGTTCAATCCCCTGCCCCATTTGGAGCATGTGCGAGAGGCAACTGATCAATGTGTTTCTTTCACATTGATGTTTCTCTGTCTGTCTCTCTCCCTCCCTTCCACTCTCTCTAAAAAATATCCTCATGTGAGGATTAATGAAAATAAATAAAATAGCTTTCTACACGCTTTGATCCAGTGATTTTTCTTCTAAGAATTTTTTTTACATACACACTTATGCAATGTAAATTGATGTATAAACAAGGCTATTTGTTGTAGCAATTTTTTAAACGGCAAAATTATAAACAAAATAAATGTAATCAATGCTATAATAAATTTTTGTATGCCTGTATCATAGACTACTATGTGTCTTATAAAAGAACAATGCATTTCCTTATATGTTATAAAAGAATCTCTAAAGTGTATCTTTCAGTGGGAAAAAAAAGTACATATCAGTTAAAACAGAGGTGCTTGTCTATATAGCTTAAATATATGTATACATATGTGTGTGTGTGTGTGTTTACACACACACACACACACACACACACACACACATATATATATATAACCTGTATGTTTTTAAATAATTTCTCAAATTGATTATAGAGAGAGGAAGGAAGAGAAAGGTTGGGGGATAGGGAGGGAGGAGTGGGAGAGAGAAACATTGATGTGAGAGAAACATCAATTGTTTGCATCCCATGCACAACAAGACTGGGGATTGAACACACAACCTGGGTACGTACCATGACCAGGAATCCCTGGATCATTCAGTGTATGGGATGACGCTCCAACCAACTGAGCCAGGGTTATTACAGTTTGTTTTTATATATTAGGATATGGATGCATAGGCTACCTTAGAAAGGATATGAAAAAATTAGTAATAGTTGTGGCTGGGGAGGAGAATCAGAGGGCCTAGAGTAGTGGTTCTCAACCTTTCTTATGTCGTAACCCTTCAATACAGTTCATGTTGTGGTGACCCCCATCCATAAAATTATTTTCGTTGCTACTTCATAACTGTAATTTTGCTACTGTTATGAATCATAATTAAATATCTGTGTTTTCCAGTGGTCTTAGGAAACCCTGCTAGTGGTTGAGAACCATCAGAAAACAGAGATATTTACATTATCATTCATAACAGTAACAAAATTACAGTTATGACCGAAACCGGTTTGGCTCAGTGGATAGAGCATCGGCCTGCAGACAAAGGTCCCAGGTTCGATTCCGGTCAAGGGCATGTACCTTGGTTGCCGGCACATCCCCAATAGGGGGTGTGCAAGAGGCAGCTGGTTGATGATTCTCTCTCATCGATGTTTCTAACTCTCTATCCCTCTCTCTTCCTCTCTGTAAAAAATCAATAAAATATATTAAAAAACAAACAAAAAAACACCAAAATTACAGTTATGAAGTAGCAACAAAAATAACTTTATGGTTGGGGGTCACCACAACATGAGGAACTGTACTAAAGGGTCGCAGTGTTAGAAAGGTTGAGAACCACTGGCCTAGAGGACAATATGGAGGTCGGAAAACTCATTCTACACTATATACCATTTGGTACCTTTGGAGTTTTGAACCTTTTTAAAAATACTGAACTATTCAAAAATAAATTATATTAAAACTGGCTCTCTAACATTTCACTAATAGATTGACCTTATTAAAGTAAAAGAATTTGAAATATTATAATAGTAGAAACAAATCTATTTTGCATCCTATATAATAAAATGATACTGTACTTTTTGATGAATTTTAAGAGTACGGTACTCCAAGATGAAATTTCATTTTAGGAATGGGTCTGTTGTAGCTGACTATTATGGCTTAAGATTAAGTTTCATTTTTTTAAAAGTAAGTTTATATGTCTCCTCCATGAAAACTTTGTGATTTCTACATCTTATTCCTTCATTTACTAGTTTCTACATTAAAGGATCAGTTGGAAGACTTAAAGAAAGTAAGTCAGAATTCACAGCTTGCTAATGAGAAGCTGGCACAATTACAAAAGCAGGTATGTTTTTGGAACGTGGTTTATTAAAATATTATAATTAATAAGTTTGTATTTTAGTAAAAATCTACTTTCTTGCTCTTTTTTTTTAATAGCTGGAAGAAGCCAATGACTTACTTAGGACAGAATCAGACACAGCTGTAAGATTAAGGAAAAGTCACACAGAGATGAGCAAGTCAATTAGTCAACTAGAGTCCCTGAACAGAGAATTGCAGGAGAGAAATAGAATTCTAGAGAATTCCAAGTCACAAACAGATAAGGAGTATTACCAGCTGCAAGCTGCATTGGAAGCTGAACGAAGAGACAGAGGACATGATTCTGAGATGATTGGAGACCTTCAAGGTAATTTCTTTTTTTACTGTGATAAAATATATATAATAAAATTTACCTTTTATTCATTTTTAAGTGTATAGTTCAGTTGCATAAAGTACTTTCATATTGTTGTGCAATCATTGTGACTGTCCATCTGCATAACTTTTCTTTCACCCCAAACTAAAACTATAACCTTTAAACAGTAGCTCCCCATTATTCAATCTTCCTAGTTGCTAGAAAACACCAACCACTTTATGTCTCTATGTATCTTTTATGATAGTTTAACTATCATAAAAGTGAAATCATACAGTATTTGTCCTTTTGTGTCTGTCGTGTTCCACTTAGTGTAATGACTTCAAGATTCATCCATGTTTAGCATGTGTCAGAATTTCCTCCCTTTGTAAGGCTGAATCATATTTCACTGTACATATATAAGACATTTTATCAATAGAAGGTAATTTTCTAAATTTTTTAATTGTAATTGTGCTTCAAAGCATAAAATTTACCATTTCAGTCCTTTTTAAGTATATTTTTTTTTTTATCATGTTGCCCTCATAAAGAAAATGATTTTGGTGAAACCAGAAATAGTTAAGCATTTTTCTTTTTTCAGGATAATGCCTACCTTTATATCACATTGTAATTTCTTTACTCTCATGGGCATGCCTGTGAGGTAGATTATGTGGATATTACCAATTTTACAGCCAGATTACTGAAAACATCATTTTAAAACATGCCTGATTCACAAAAGTCCCAGTCTGGATAGTGAGACTAATCCAGACTGAGAGGTTTACTACTATTAAAACATGGGAATTCCTCATGCATTGTTGGTAGAAATAGAAACTCATGCAGAAATAGAATCCCATTACAAATGAAGATTAGGTACTTGGGAAGGTTAGAACTGAAAATATCAGCAGTCTTTGTGAGTTAAAAGAAAAATTGAGTAGAACAGTGAATAAAGGAACATTTTCATAATGTTATTAAAATTTAGTTTGTTTTATAAAAAGTTGTGTGGTTCTCTATCCACTTCTCATATATTTTTCAATTTTCTATTCTTATTAGCAACAGCATCTGTATTACTTAATCAAATAAATATGCATGGAAGTTGCCAGATCTCTCAGGGAAAAATTGGGGGTGGGGTAGTCCATTTTAACCTTAGTCACAGGATGGGAACATAGTTTGGGGTCTCATGGGGTTTGATGATTAGCTAGAATTCTGTGGAGAGAGGTCAGGGTAAATTTTTGTGACTGGAAATGGAAATTAAGATCTCCAATTGTTTCTTAGCTGAGGAGTGTTGTGCAATCTTATTTCTCAGGCTTAAAATAGATCTAAATATAATCAAGAAAGTAACCTCATATGTATTAGAAAAGCCTCATTTAAATTGCTTTTCTAGGCCTTTTTAAATATAGCCTTATTGTTTGAAAGTCACTAAATCATTTCATCGGCCTTTGTTATCTATAAACCAAGGGAATAAAATAGGTGACCCCCTATAAATTCTAAAATTCTTTAAGTTTGTGATCTTTCAGATATGACTGAGCTTTGAAGTGTTTGTTTACCTTAGAAGTAGAGACCATCATGCATGTGTTCATCAACAATGGTTTTAATTGAATCTATTTTCTAGATATTAGTGTTATTAAGGAAAATTCATAGCATGGTTTATTGAAGTTTATCTTTTTTCTATGCTTACTTTGAGGTTTAAGTTTTTAATTTAAACAAATCAAAGCTGGCATGCATCAAAAAATGCACACAACTCATATGACCCTCAACATACATAAAAAAGATGCAGTTTTACCCTGGCTGGGTAGTTCATTTGGTTAGAGTGTCATCCTGCTACTGCCAGGGTTATAGGTTTGATCTCTGGTCAGGGCACATATACAAGAATCAACCAATGAATGCATAAATAAGTAACACAAAAAATTGATGTCTCTCTCTCTCTCTCTCTTTCTCCCCCCCTCACTCCCTCCTTTTCTACCCCCCCCCACTCCCTCCCTTTTCCTCTCTCTCTTTCTCCTCCTCCCTTTATCTCTCTAAAAAAATCAATAAATAAAAATTATTTTTTAAAATGCATTTTAGTTTAAAAAACACACACAATTTTTATATTAATCTTTCATGGTCTTTAAGAAATTTCAGGTTCCTCAGATAAAAGTTTCTCATAGTCTAAGACACTGGTCTCCTGGTAGAGTCAAGATTATTTCCTAGTTCAATGTCCTTTATGTATACTGGTAAATATGTATGGGAAATGACTTCCCAAATATAATTGGATAGTAAATATTTTAGGTTTTGTGGGCTATATATGATCTCTGTTATATATTTTTCTTTTTCACTCTTTGCAACCCTTTAAAAATGAAAACAAAAAAAAAAGTTTTAGCTTCGTGTCTATAAAGACTATAGGTCTAAAGTTTGCCAACACCTGAACCAATGTACAGATAAGGCTGTTGTTATAGACAAAATTAGTTTCCAAAAGTCTAGGCCATATAAGCTTAAAAAAAAGGAATAGACAAAGAACAAAATGTCATGGAGGAATGAAATTTTTAATTCAAATGAAAGCTCTTCATGTAGCAAGTTTATTTGTGAATCTTCAGATTAAAATGCAAAAAGACACATTTTTTTCAATTAACCATTTTTAAAAGTCTTCTTAAAAATATTCTTGTTTAGCCCTAACCACTGTGGCTCAGTTGGCTGTAAGGTCAGTCATGCACTGGAAAGTCATGGGTTCAATCCCAGAAAACCCAGGTGGGGTGTGTACTGGAGTCAATCCATGTATCTATCTTTCTCTCTCTCCCTCCCTCCCTCCCTCCCTCCCTCCCTCTCTCTCTCTCTCTCTCTCTCTCTCTCTCTCTCTCCACTTATCTAAAATCAATAATGAATAAATATTTTTTTTAAAATCCTATTATTTCTTTTACCTTTTATATTGGAAATTTCAATCGTATATCATAGGAGAATATATAATGACCCTAGGTACCCATTATTCAGTTTCAGTAATCTTCATCTAGCAGCCAGTCGTGTTTTATTGTACTCCCACCTCCCTTTCCCAATCATCTGACACTAAATTTAATTTGAAGCAAATTGCAGGTGACTCATTGTTTAATTTGTAAATATTTTACTATCTTTTAAAGATAAAGAATTCTTAAAAGAAAAACAAACAAACATGACCACAATATCATTATCAAACCTGGAGGAAAAGTTGGTAATTATTTAATACTAGAGACTTGGTGCACAAAATTGTGCACAGGGGTGTGTGTCCCTCAGCCCAACCTGCACCCTCTCCAATCTGGGACCCCTTGGGGGATATTCCACTAAACAGGCAGTAGGACATCCCTCTCACAATCCTGGACTGCTGGCTCCCGACTGCTCACCTGACTGCCTGATTGCCCTAACTGCTTCTGCCTACCAGCATTATCACCCCATAACCACTTCCCTGCCAGCCTGATCGACACCTAACTGCTTTCTTGCCGGCCTGATCTGGGATCCCTTGAGGGTCGATTCCAGTCAAGGCCATGTACCTTGGTTGGGGGTACATACCCAGTGGGGACTGTGCAGAAGGCAGCTGATGGATATTTCTCTCTCATAGATGTTTCTAGCTCTCTATCCCTTTCCCTTCCTCTTTGTGAAACATCAATAAAATATAAAAAAGAAACATTTAAGATTCCTCCATATCTGCCTGGCTGGTGTGACTCAGTGGCTGAGAACCCAGGCTGGGCAGGGAGGGGATCACTGCGTGGATACGCGCGCCGCTGCTGGCCTGAGACCCCAGGCTGGAGGCACAGCCAGATTGCCGATTGCCAAATGGGTGCGGGCGCCGCTGCCCTCCTGAGACCCCAGGTTGGTGCTGGAGCCCAGCCGCTTGATACCTGCACTCATAGGCTTCGAGTGGCCAGGGGGCATTCTGAGACTCCTGCTGTATACTTGCTTTGATTGGCCGTAGCAAAGGTACAGTCAATTAGCATTTTTCTCTTTTATTAATGTAGATTGTAATATCTAGTATTGTAACATCAAGTCAATGTTCAGATTCTTCCTTTTTATTAAGCCATTCATCTATAGATGGACATTGAGTTATTTCCTGTAGTCCCATTATTTGTTGTTACTTTTGTATTTACTTGAATTAGGATCTAATTAAGATCTACACATTGCATTTATAATATGCCCCTTAAGTTTTTTTTTTTTTAATCTATAGGTTCCTCTTCCATTTTTTGTTTGTAGTTGCTATTGGTTGAAGAAAACAGGTTTTTTTGTTCTGTTAATTATTTCCCATTCTGAATTTTGCTGATTCCGTCAATTAACATGTTGCTCTGATCCTTGTATTACTTTAAACTGAACTGGTATGTCTGAAGCTTGATCTATTTCAGGTAGGACTTTAGCAAGAATACTTTTAAGACATATTATTTATGTGCCAAGAGGCACATAAAGTCTGACTGTCTCTTTTGGTGATGTTACAAGCCATTGGTGATTATTGCTTAGATCCTTTAGGAGTTTGCAGTGCTGATGATCTGTTTTTAGCATTCTTCATTCCTTCATTAACTTAAATGCTACTAAAAACATTTTTTCAAGTATATATCTTGATGTACAGCTTATAAAAAAAAAGTCAAGTTATATACTTGATTTTTTATTATTTCCTCAGTATTCTCCAAAGGTAACCAGTGACATTTTAAAATATACTATTTTTGAACTTACAAATTTTAATATATTTAAATGTGTTAGCTCACTATAGTATTCTTATTGATGTTCATTTGTGGCTAATGGGAATCTTCAATTTTATACAGTGTCTAGTAGTCCTGGATAGCATCTTTTCTTTTTGGTATGCATAATATATTTTCCAGGATCATTTTCTATTCTGCATTTATAATTGCTACCATTGTATGGCATGAGCCTTAAGTGCATTAAAACTAAGCTTTGTTAGAATACTTGAATTCCTTAAAAATAGTTTTCTATAAAAATTGAGTTTGGCTCCATTAAGTTTAAGAGTAAAATGAAACACTTTCAGAATGTCTGGCACATAAAAACCACTTAAATACTTGCCCTAATTAACTAAAGTGTCTCATTCTTTATATGGTAGAAAGAGCACTGAATACAAACTCAGACCTGATTTCTGGACACAAGCTAAGGTTCATCTCTTTGACCATTTGTGAAGTAAAGAATATGTAATAAATGATTTCCAATTAGTATTAATAGTTTTTATTATTATACTAGAGGCCAGTGCATAAAATTTGTTCATGGGGGAGGGGATGTCCTTCAGCCCAGCCTGTACCTTCTCCCCTCGAGTGATGTCCAACTGCCCGTTTTGGCCCGATTCTAGTGGTGGGATCAGGCCTAAACAGGCAGTCAGACATCCCTCTCATAATCCAGGACTTCTGGTTCCCAACTGCTCATCTGCCTACCTGCCTGATAGCACCTAAACCGCTTCTGCCTGCCAGTCTGATCACTCCCTAACCACTCCGTCAGCCTGATTGACACCTAACTTCTTCCCTGCTGGCCCGATTGCCCCTAACTTCCCTCCCTTGCCAGCCTGGTCACCCCGAACTGCCCTCCCTTGCCATCCTGGTCATCCCTAAGTGTCCTTGCCTGCTGGCCTGGTCTTCCCCAACTGCCCTCTTCTACCGGCCCGATCACTCCTAACTGCCCTCCCCTGTAGGCCTAATCCCTCTCCCCCCCAAACTGTCTCCTTTGCAGGGCTGGTCCCTTCCAACTGCCCTCCCCTACTGGCCTGATTGCCCATAACTGCCCTCCCCTACCTGCCATCTTGTACGTTGGAGTGACCATCAATTTACATATTACTACTTTATTATATAGGGCATTGTAGTTACTGTATATACTACCAAGGTAACCAGGAAATTTAAAACATTTTTATCTTAATGGTCATGCTGAACAAAAAGACTTGTTTTAATATGTGACTTGAACTTTTTTTCTCATTTGATAGCTCGAATTACATCTTTACAAGAGGAGGTGAAGCATCTCAAACATAATGTTGAGAGAGTAGAAGAAGAAAGAAAAGATGCTCAAGACATGCTTAATCATTCAGAAAAGGTAAATGATTAAATGTTACCAATTATGAGAGTATTTACTGGGTATTAAATATTATAAGGTGATTATATAAAATAGCATTTGTTCCTAATGTTTATATATTATGTTTCTAAAAGTTTGCTGGTTGATCAGTTGGTTGTGGAGAGTGGGGGGTATATGTCTTGATTAGAGCTTTTATTGTGTTATTTTTGTTTTTACTTGAAGAGTATTAATTGTTTGATATTATCTTATCACAAATTGCTTTGGTTTGGAAATACCTTTTCATATAGAAGGGGTTTTTTTCCTTTTTTTTTTTTTTTTTTTTGGTACACGGGTATAATGAAGGTGATAAACCTTATTACTAGCCTTATGAAGAAGGAAAACAGGATCAGTATATAGACCATGTATGCTTTTTCCATTTTGTTGGTAGGAGTTAGTAAAATAGAAAATACCTCTTACATGTAGAACTTTCTTAGTTAAAATATGCAGATCTAGCACTCACATTTTTTTATGTCTTGCCGTAAACATGTAGTTTTAGTAGCTCCTCAGATAAGTGAGAAAATCTACCAGTTATCTTGTCCTTCGTACATGTTTTGTGACTCTCAGAATAGTTTTTTCATGTCTAAGCCTGGTATAAATGAGAAATAAGATAAAGGAAGAGTAGAAGAAGCACCCAAACAGAAATGAAATAAATTTTGACTTGTTCTTTCATCAAAACAACATAAATCTAGGTAAAGATACAAATGTACATGGAGATAATTTAGATGTTTAAAAAACAGTGATAGCAAAATATTTTTTATGAATTGAAGAATTGTCCTATTTATCTCTGATCCTAGCAATTCACCCTTCTAATATAAATACCATCACTTTGCTCTGCCATCAGATATGGCTAAAGATTCAAATAAGAAGTTGTGAGTAAAGAAAGGTGATGTTTTTCTCTTAATTCTATGTGCTTATTGTGATTTTAAAAGTAAGACATTATAGCCTGGCCAGGGTAGCTCAGTGGATAAGCATTGACCCACAAACCAGGAGGTCAGGGTTTGATTCACTGTCAGGGCACCTGCTCAGGTTTCTAGCTCAATCCCCAGGAGGAGGTGTGCAGGAGGCAGCAAATCAATGATTCTCTCTCTTCATTGATGTTTCTCTCTCTCTCTCTCTCTCTCTCTCTCTCTGAAATCAATAAAAACATTTTTTTTAAAAAGAAAGACATTATAGGTAATGTGAAGTGTACAAGAAAGTACAAAAAATAAACTTTAAGAATATGTTGTCCCATTTCAGACCAGATGATGCGTATATTATTTATTGTGGGATATTAATAATGTAATATTTAATGTGTCTTTTGAACAGTGTATTATATGACTCTCATTTTATAGGAAAAGAATAATTTAGAGATAGATTTAAACTACAAGTTGAAATCCTTACAACAACGGTTAGAACAAGAGGTAAATGAACATAAAGTAACCAAAGCTCGTTTAACTGACAAACATCAGTCTATTGAAGAGGCAAAATCTGTTGCAATGTATGGTAAGTGTCAATTTTAATGTTTTCTGCATGATACATTTTAATAATATATTAGTACAACTTATTTAAAATTATAGATAATGATCTAGGAAGAGGATAGTTATTCTCCCTTTTTTGGATTCCTTCCATTTTAAAAAAATACAATTTCGTCTTCTATAATAGTTTCCTCACTCTACCATCCTGTCCTACCCTTTACTCCCTATAAAATAGAGCGGAATATATGTTTTTTTCTAGTTTTTCAGTTAATTATTTTTTTACCAATTTATTCTAGAACTTATTGTCTGTTAATTCATCTGCTTTCTTGCTTTGTTGTTGTTGTTCTTCTTCTTCTTCTTCCTCCTCCTCTTCCTCCTCCTCTTCCTCTTCTTCTTCTCTTTCCTCTTCCCCTTCTCCTTCCCCTTCTCCTTCTTCTTTTTTTTAGCTATACTTTCACCTTCTGGTCTGAAAATGGCTCTGCTAATCTCTCATTTTGGGTATAAGCTGTATTTAGAAAATTTTTATTACTTTATTATATTTTACTTGAGGCTCGATGCACAAAGATTCGTGCAAGAATGGGCCTTCCTTCCTCTGGCTGGCCCAGAGCCGCCTTTCCGCCTTCCCTCGCTGCCCAGAGTCCTGAAGCTGCTGGGGTGGTGCAGAACGCCTACGTTATCGCCATGGCTATAGCACAAGCATCCCAACCTGTTCCTGGTAGCTCAGTGCCTGCATATGCAAATTATTCTGCCATCTTTGTTTGGTTAATTTGGAATCTCACTCCTGATTGGCTGGTGGGAATCACAAAAGTAAGATCAGTTTGCATCTTGCTTTTTTTATTAGTGTAGATAACTTTTTTCCTTTAGAGATCCCGCTATATAAATAATTCAAATAACATTAGGACTTCTTTAATGAATACCTATCCTGTTTCCCCAAAAATAAGACAGTGTCTTATATTAAATTTTTCTCCCAAAGTTGCGCTAGGTCTTATTTTCAGGGGATGTCTTATCTTTCCATGCGCTAGGTCTTATTTTTGGAGGATGTCTTATTTTCGGGGAAACACGGGTAATAGCTTTATTAGAGTATCAGGATAAAAACCGGGATTTTTGGCACCAGCTTGTTTTATACAGCCCATGAAAGTGAAAAGTAATGAAGTAATATCTTTCTTTAAATGTATGTTTGCAACTTTTTGTTCACAGAGATGGAAAAAAAGCTGAAGGAAGAGAGAGAAGCTCGAGAAAAGGCTGAAAATAGGGTTGTTCAGATTGAGAAACAGTGTTCCATGCTAGATGTTGATCTGAAACAATCTCAGCAGAAGCTTGAACATTTGACTGAAAGTAAAGAAAGAATGGAGGATGAAGTAAGAAAAATAGAAAATACTGATTTTGATCAGCTTATAAAAGAGAAACAATCACATGTTATGTCTGAAAAGTCACTATCTATAATTTAAACATGAAAGAAATTCGAATGAAATAACCTATATGTATCTGTGTTCACTGCTATGTGGTCACTATTATATCCCTTGCTCTTAGAATTTTCATCTTCAAATAGTTATTCAGTATTCATACATAGGGTCTGTATCATTTTGCACAGACAGCACAACTATGTAGAACTGTCATAGCTCCTCCCCTGAAGAAACTGACCATCTGCTTTAAGAAAACAAACAAAAACTGTTCTTATTCAATGGGCACAAACAACAGGAGGGTGAGGGCATGAGTGGGGGGTGGGGTAAAGCAATGGGACAATAAGGACACATTTGTAATACCTTAATAAAGGAAAAAGAAACTGTCCTTATTGCATTCTATAATCCCAAAGAGGAGCATTGCTGTTAGGATTCCTAAAAGGTGTTAAACTGTAGTCTTGACTGGCTTAGATGGACAGAAACCACAGGATACACATTTATAAAGCAATAAATAAAAAGCCAAATGATATTATATTCTTGTGGCTACTATATGTATTTTAGAAATTATTTAGAAAATGAAAGTAACTAGTCTACACATGTAAGTTAGGGGAGAAAGAGAAGAGCAGAATAATCAGGAAAATCAGAATAATCTTCACAAAAGAGGGACAGAATGTTACTATTATTTTAAAGGTTGAGAAAGACCTCAAAAGTTAATAGTTTGAGAGTCAGAAGTCTGAGTTGGTGTAGGGAACTTACCAGTGAAGATGACGATGAAAGAGAGACTATTGAGTGCTTCAAAGATAGGTACGTAAGGAAAAAAGGGAACTTGATCTGACCAGAGGAGAGTATTGATAGTTTTTAAAATTTGAAATGATAGCTATAGGTGAAAAGATTCTTTAAAGAAAACAGATAATAGTATATATTATGTCCCATAAAGAAGAGACATTAGAGGCACCTATTAGAGTAAGGGTGCAGGAAGAATGTATGTGAAAGTTTGAAAGATAATATTCAGTCACTTACAATAATTTTTGGCCATCTGTTATCCCCCTGTTTCTGTGCTAGGAGTTGGGATACTGAGTAATAGAAATATGGTCTTGACTTTTGTGAAACTTAGAGTCCAGAGGAAAAGATAGATATTAAAATAGTAATTACAAGCATGACATATATTATAAAAGGATGTAGTGAGTGCTCTAGGAGTGTTCTGACTAATCACACCTGGTAGTTAAGGAAGACCTCAAAAACTTTGGAGGGTTATAGATGAGCATAAACACTTATGAATGAACAGGTAAATGCAAGTACCTCTTAGGAAGTTACCCCCAAAAGTGGCATTTGTATTCATTTCAAGATTTCCATACAGGTTAGAGTAGAAGGAAACCCAAATTTTTCCCTTAAGATATATATATATATATGAAACTTGGGTATTAATTTGACTTAATAAATTCTGCAATTATAAACACATAGAATAATAGTGTTTAGAATGTTGATATTCTCTATTTGTATAAGGCATTATATTATACTTAAGATTTGATTTGTATTCTTTAAAATAATGTCTAATAAGCTTAAAGAGATTTAAGATCCCAATCACTTTTCTCATTCATAGGTTAAGAATCTCACTCTGCAATTGGAGCAGGAATCAAATAAGCGACTCTTCTTTCAAAATGAATTGAAGACTCAAGCATTTGAGGCAGACAATTTAAAAGGTCTAGAAAAGCAGATGAAACAGGAAATAAATACTTTACTGGAAGCAAAGAGATTATTAGAATTTGAATTAGCTCAACTTACAAAGTAAGTCTCAAAAGAGCATTTAAAAAAAATTATTGATTTTTTTTTGTATTCAGTATTGCTTATGTGTTTTATATTTTATGTGTGTATAGATTATGTACTTAGAATTTGTGAAGGGAAGACTTAACAAAGCATTTAGAAATAAAGTAATTTACTTGCAAAGAAATTTTACAGGAGAGTTCAGTCTTTGGAAGGACAGTCTTTCTAAAAAAAATAGTTATTTCAAGGAAGAATAAAGGAAATAACTAAAGCTACTTCTTTACAGTAAGTCTATTTATGGTGAAGAAAACTCCACAATTTTCTCACGATTTTCATATCCACAAAAGTCATCTTTTTTCACATTTGAATTTCTAATATCACAGATGACCTTTTTATTATGGATTCAGTACCTTATAGGAAAAGTTCAAGGTTTATGTCCTCCAAATTTATATCTTCATTTGCCACCTTCATTTAAAACACAGTGATTCTTCGATAAAGTCAGTTTTGACTTCATTAGATTTATACCGGTGAAATTCTTATTTTCTTTTAGAGCCACTATTCTCACCAAACAATGTATTTTGCAGTTTTCTTCTCCCAAAATTAATTCATCATTCAATGATCACTTTCGATGTGCCTTCTATTAACCATATGCCTAATTAATGCTGAAAATACAAAGCTATTAATATCTAATATGAAAACCTAACAACTGCAGGTGAAGTCATTTATCTTTGAAAATCTGTCTATGGGATACATTGTGTCACTGTCTTTTTGAGTCTATTTCTTTTTTATCCGGTTGTGTGTGTGTATTCTGTTTATGTAGTTAGTTGTCTGTGTTTCTTTTCTCCCTTCTTTTTCCTTACCTGATTATTCATTTCTACCCACTTCCCCCTTCCTTTTTTTTAAATTGGTCATAATATATAGTACTGATTTGTTATTATATATTAAGTATTGTATGTCCTTTGTTTTTAATGGTTTACTTACCACATAAGACATTTTAAATGTATCCCTAAAAATGCTTTTCTTTACAAAAATTTATCTCAAAAAATCATTTTTATTTGTGTAATTTGCATTCATCCACAACTAATAATCTGAAAGTGACCTTCATTAGAAAAAGGTTCCCTTTGCTTTGCATAACATTATTTTATAAGGAGCAAAATGGAACCAGACAGTATGGTCTAACCAAATATGAATATTAAAGTAATACTGTGTAATGAAGTATCATTTTGTAAAACAAATGTAATTTCAGTAAACCTTTTTTATTTTAGCAACTTTATGAAACAAAGAATAATATAAAGTCTGCTGTAAATAGGAGCATGTGTTTACTATTTTCTTTTTTGTCTAAAGACAATATAGAGGAAATGAAGGACAGATGCGGGAACTACAAGATCAACTTGAAGCTGAACAATATTTCTCGGTGAGAATCATTTTTAACATTATACTGTTTCAAAACCTGACCTATAACAAGATATTTAGATTATTAATGTGAACTGTGATTCTTTTTTAAATGATTATGAAGTGTTTTCTCCCTTTTATATCAATATTTCTACATTTCATCTCAACCTGAATTCGTGGTCTTTTAAGTTGTAAAGAAATGACCATTTTTGTGCAGATATTTCCAGAATTATCATCAAACTCTAGAGCTACATATGAGACTTTTTGTTAAGGGTTCTGTCCACCTGGTAGCAAGTTCAGGTGGAATCACGTGTGGTTCATGTGCGCATATTACAATAGTCTGCATACACATACTTGTTTAAGAGATTTTTCCTATTTGGCTCTATATGTATTTTATGCATCTGTTTTGCTTTTTCTCCAGTGTAGTCACTCTAACTCATTATTTACAGGCCAAGTTATTTTTGCTACTATCATTGATGAACATTTACAGCTTTGACGCTCTATTGAAGCCTCTGAATTTTTTGTTTCTTTTGGTTGCCAAACTTGTGTTCTATCATTTAAATACTTGGGAGTGGAATTATTGGATCATCTGTTAGTTATTTAACTTTATAAGAAACTACCAACTCTTTTTAATCCACTATAAACACTTTTTTTTTTTTTCTTAACACTTGTTTTGCAGACACTTTATAAAACCCAGGTAAAGGAACTGAAGGAAGAAATTGAAGAAAAAAACAGAGAAAATTTAAAGAAAATACAGGAACTACAAAATGAGAAGTATGTTTATTTTACTTTAGAACAAGACTCAATATTACAACAAAACAATCTTAACTTAAAATTTAAAGATAGATAGTAGATGTGCCATTATTCTGATGGCGATGGTATAATAAATCATGTTTGGTTCATTCAAAATAAATCAAACTAGATTTAGGCTAAAGTTTACCTTTATGGTGAAAAAGATAATTTTGTATATTAACACTGTAGCAATTGTACGGAGATTCACTAAACTGTGACAGTAAATTGTTTTCAAAGGTCTCTTAATTTTCTTTTTTTTAATTTTATTTAAATTTTTATTGTTGAGAGTATTATAGATATCCCCTTTTTTCCTCCATTGCCCCCCTGTATCCAGTTCCCATCCTGCCCCAGGCCTTCACACCTTATTGTCTGTGTCCATAGGTAAAGCATATATGCATATAAGTTCTTCGGTTAACTTCTTCCCAACTCCCCTTCCCTGTTTCTTTTGAGATTCGTCAGTCTTTTCCATATTGCCATGACTCTGGCTCTATTCATCTGTTAATTTTGTTCATTCATTCCTTGATTTGTATATAAATAGTTTAATAGTTCATGCTGTACTCACAAGTAATTTTAAGTTACATAAAGGTATTTACATTCTTTCTCATGTGAAATTAACCTATTATGAAGGTTAGTTTTTATTGCATGTGTCTTAGAGAAGATCTTTAAAGCTACTTAAGTGTAATTACTTTTCATAGCTAGTATCAGAACAGACACTGGAACTAGTTTTCTAACATTGTTATATTCTCTTTTCATATAACCACATCTGAAATTAATTAATTAATTAATTTATTTATTGGTAGTCCTCACCTGAGGATATTCTCTCTTGATTTTTTTAGAGAGTGGAAGGGATGGGGAGAGACAGGGAGAAATTGATGTGAAAGAGAGACATCTATTGGTTGCCTCCCACAACTGGGGCTGGGATTTGAGCCTTTGACCTGAGGAATCAAACCTGAGCCAAACCAGCTAGAATTGAAAGAAATTTTAGAAATTTAACTTTAATGTTGAAGCAAACAAATACATAAAATAATAAAACATGCATAGTTTTATGATTTATATGACAAATATCATTATAACTACTACCCATGGAAGAGATGGAACTTTGCTCTCCACCACAGAATTCCACTATATCCCCTCTCTAATTATATCTTTTTTCCTCCCACCACAAGAGTATCACAGTTATTTGTGGAAAGAATGGATTATTTGTCCCATATATTTTTCCTCAGTTGTGATTTTGTTGATTTCATTTCCATAGTTAATTGAATATTTTCATCCTCTTTCTATGTTTCCTTCAGTTGAGTGGTTAAATTTATAGTTGTGCTGTCCAGGGTGGTAGCCACTAACTACATATAGCCATTTAAATTTAAAGTTTAATTCATTTAAATAAAATTAAAACTTTAGTACTAGCCACATTTCAGGTGCTAAATCGTCTATATGTAGTTAGTGTCTACCATGTTGGACAGTACAAGTGTAAAACATTCCATCATTGTAGAAAATTTAATTGGACATTCCTAATCTGGAGGCTTAATCAAATTCAAATCTGATCTTTAGAGGGGACAAGGCTGCCTCATATATGACTTTATAATGTCTAGCTTCCTATTTGTGGTGTTAGTATCATTGACATTCAGTGCTTTAGATGGAGTCTAAAGTAGGTAGAGAGTTACATTTCCTGGTTAGTCTCTGTGATGGTGATAGACTCCTATGATAGAGTATAGCCTATAGCCTATCATTTGTATGGTATTCATTGTGAAATATGTAATCCCAGGTTGTGTGCATTCACTATGATAGGAGTAACCAATCTACTGTGTACTATATTGTTTTAGAGGATTGACATGTTTGTCCCTGTTTGATCTATTTAATATAAATATATTTATCATTACTATTGTGTTAACCACAGTCCTTCATGCCAGTGATATAATTATTAGTAAGCCATGGTTTTTAATTTCAAGTGCTTCAGAATTTAGGCTGACAGATGCAATTAATGTAGACGACTATGACAAAGTGCTATTGGAACATACTAAAGGGATATACCTCATCATACCATGTGGGATTCAGAGAACATTTCCCAGGTGACAACTAAGAAATAAAAGAATTTGCCAGGGAATGGGGAAGGGGGAAGTATAGGCAAAAGCCAATCTGTGATTTGGATAACAGCAAATAGCTTAGTTTACAGGTAGGGAGACAGTTGGTGACAGGTAACACTAGAGAAAAAAACCTGAGTCAGATTACAAAGTTCCTTGTGTGTCATGCTAAGGCATTTGGAATTATCAAGTATTGAAGAGTAGGAAGTTTTGCTTCTGTTGTTCTGTTGCATATCTATCGATACATTGCCTAGGTTAAGGCCTTGCAAAGAATAAGTATTCAATAAATATGGAATGAAATTTTAAGCTAGGGATTGACAAGATGGTGTTTTAAAAAGCTCCACTTTTTAGAGTAGTGAATGGATTGGAGTGAGTCAAAGCTGGTAAATAGAAGGTGTACACTTATACAGCCATTGAAATAATCTAGATGTAAAATTACAGTTGAAGTTAACAATAAAAGAAAAGGCAAGTGCATGGGGGAAAATAGAAAAGTAGAAACAGTATGACCTGTGGATTTGCGGGAGTGGGAGTGAAGGTTAGGGAAAATTTCAGGTTGACTCAAGTTTCTGACCAGAGCACTTGTGTTGATGGTAATGCTAGTACCAGAGTTAAGGAACGCCAAATTGTAAAAAGAGGGGAGATGATATTTCCATTTCAGACCTATTGAGTTTGAAGTGCCTACCATGCTGATAGGGAGAGAGCAGTTGGGAGAGACCTGGTTGGCAATGGGGGGCAGTTGGGGCAATCAGGTTGGCAGGGGAAGGCAGTGAAGGGTGACCAGGCAGTCAGGCAGGTGAGCAGTTAGGAGCCAGCGGTCCAGGGTTGTGAGAGGGATGTCCAACTGCTAGTTTAGGCTCAATCCCCAGGAGGGCCCAACCTGCAGTTGGGACATCCCCCAAGGGGTCCCAGATTGAAGATGGTGCAGGCTGGGCTAAGGGCCCTTCCCATGCATGAATTTCATGCACCGGGCTTCTAGTATTTAAATAAGATATGGGAAGGAAGTCAGAGTGGGAAAAGTTGTACATCTATTCTTTGATTCAAACAAAATTCCTGAGCACTTTCTGTGAGCCAGAGACTTTTATAGGCATTTGGAATATATCGGTGAACAAGAACAAAGCCCCTGCCTATAGTCTTACAACCCAGAAGAATCAGGAATTATTCTAGTTCTTTAAAGAGACGGGTGAAGGAAGGTGAGAGATTGGCCTTAAACATCAGTAAAGACAGGTCTGTCTCTATGGAGAGTTGTGAAAAAGCCTGGATGAAAATAGTTAGATTTTATCTTAAAACACATTATCATTCTTTGCTTTCTTTTGCACAATTATATAGAAATATAATTTGAGATAAATAGGTTTTCTTGTATTTTAATGAATAACTTAAGTACTTTATTCCGAATTTGATGTCAAGTGGTAAATCCAGATGAGAACGTTATCTACCTGAAGCCTGTAATTTAGTAGCACAGAACCACCCTTATATTCATAGGTTTACCAGTGGCAATATTTCATAATGCTGGTCTTAGACTATTAAAAATAGTCACCAGCAACTGTATTTCTGCTGCATGCCTTAATTCCATGAACAGTGTTTGGCACATGCAAGCATTCAGATAAATATTTGTTGAACAAATGAAAGAATATATATATATACACACACACACACACACACACACACACACACACACACACACACACTCTAGAGGCCCAGCACGCACAAAATTGCTTGTGATTAGGGTCCATAGGCCTAGCCTGGCCTCCATTGCTGGCCTCTGCCGCCCTGCGACGCTGTGTGAAGCTTCCCACCCCAGGATACTCATGGTCCCTTGATTGCTCTGTGAGGCTTCTCCTGCTCTGCCACTGCTCCGCGAGACTCCCCCAACCCCGCAACTGCTCCGCGAGGCTTGTCCTGCCCCTTGACTGCTTCCTAAAATTCCCCCCACCCCTTGACTGCTCTGTGAAGCTTGCTGCCGCCCCGCGAAGGTGGCCGCTGGACAGTGCGCGAAGCTCCCCACCCCCCTACCCCGCGACTGCTCTGCGAAACTCTGCTGCCCAATGACTGCTCCGCTAAGCCCGCTGCTGACCTGCGAAGCAGCCCGATGCCACAGTCACCGCCGCTTAACAGTCCCTAGTCCCGCCTGCTGCAACCCCCCCTTCATGGCGAGTGGCTTTCGGGGGCCGGGGCGAGAGAGGGACTGAGAGGTGCTCCATGCACTTAATGGTGACCGGTTGTCTGTTCAGTCATGATGGTATCTGGCTCTTTATATATTAGGATTTTTTAGTTATTACAGTATGACTTTCTCCTTAGGCCTTAAACAGAAAATTCAAATTTGCATCACTTTCTTGAGTAGAAAACAGGTGGAAGGCATTCATTTAGCAAATATTTACAGAGCCTCATATATACAATTATGATCAGAATAGCTTTTTGAAGAGAGGCTCTTTGGGAAAAAAGATCAGGCAAACTGAAGTGATCTGGTCTTGATCTGATTGACAGTTCTGAAGAGTTAAAAGTGTAATTAATTATCAAGGAGTTTTCCTAGAATAGGTTTAGTGGTTTGTAAATTTTTTCATAAGACTTTATAATCTCACTGAATTTCAGAGCTGGGAGGGACCTGTACTAAATACTTTAGTTTAACCCTCTTGTTTTACAGAGGTGATTAAGGTGAGCTCCAGGAATTGTAAGGAACTTGTCCAATGTCCCTGTCAATTAATTAGTGATAGAACAGGGATAAGGGGAGCAGGCTGGAGGAGGTTAATGGGGAAAAAAGGAGGATTATGTAATACTTTCAACAATAAAGATTAAAAGGGAGGAAGGGAAGAACAGAGATAAGAGCATAAGGTTTGGCCTCCTGATTTACAAGCCAGTGACTTTTCCCCTGTGCCAAATCCACAACAAATTCTTTTCAAAAGTAGACTACTTGCCATTGCTTTATTATCTTTTCTTAGTTAAGCACAATAGCAAAGTATTGATTATTAAACATTAAAGAATTCTTTACTGCCCTGACCTGGTGGCTTAATTGGTTGGGGTGTCATCTGATACACCAAAAGGTTGTAATTGACTCCTGGTCAGGACACATACCTAGGTTTTGGGTTCAATCCTTAGTCAAGGCACATATCAATGTGGGAGATAACTAATCAATGTATCTCTCTCATATCGATGTTTGTTTCTCTTTCCAACCCTTTCTCCTCTCTCCATCTTTCCCTCCCTCCCTCCTTCCCATTCCTAGCCTTCTTCCCTCTCTCCCTTCCTCCTTATCGAAAAAAGTCAATAAATAAAAAAAAAGGATGTCTCAGGTTCTCTAATAGTATTTGGATGAAAGATGTGCTTAATCTCATGTTCTAGAAGAGTTGATTTTGAGCTCAACCCATTGTGAGAATACATACCAGCTCGCGTGACTTCGAGAACTATAAGAATGTTCATGGCAATCACTGTGCAATAGTGAAGAGTTTATTTGTATCTGTTTCTCTTATGAATGTATTGCAGAGAAACTCTTGCTACTCAGCTGGATCTAGCGGAAACAAAAGCTGAGTCTGAGCAATTGGCTCGAGGGCTTTTAGAAGAACAGTACTTTGAATTGACCCAAGAAAGCAAGAAAGCAGCTTCAAGAAACAGACAAGAGATTACAGATAAAGATCACACTGTTAGTCGGGTAAGTGGTGATAAGAGGTTATATGACTAAATTTTAAATAAAAATAGGTTAGTACATCTTAAAGTTTAGGATGTGAGTGTATGTGCATGCACGTTTACAGTGGTAAGTCTGTACTCATGTATAAAATAGTTTATGTAACTCAAAACAATTATTAGGAATTGAAATGGTATTCATTGTATTGGGGATTTTTCCCCCTCCTTTTGGCTGTAGGTGTTAAAATATTTCATGTGAAGAAACACTTAAAGTTAATTTATTGTATTATTTTCAGACATTGGAACTGATTAACTTCAAGCCTCAGATTCTTCATCTACAAAATAGAAATAATAATACTCTTCAGAATACTTACGAAGATTAAATTAAATAATCTATATAGAGTAATGAATAAAAGTCTAAAAGTAATCAATCAAACATTTTAAATTGTCATGTTCATTATCATTCAGGTGAAGGAACTGAGATTCAGAAGGATCACAAAGCTAGAAAACTAAATGGAAATCTTCTAGTTTCAGTCTAGTTTTCTTTCTATTACACTTTTTCCCTTTTCTTCATGTGTATACGCATGTGTATTTGCAAGCATACACATACACTCTCTCTGAAATAATTTTTGGAAGCTAACAATTGTTTTTAACTATTTTACTGTAATTATAATTACAGATTTTAAACTGGAAACTAGACATATTTATAGTTAAGCAGTGACAGATCTGTTTTCATTTAGGGAAAAATGAAAGTATTTTTTTAAAAAAGATTATTGCTTTACATATAAGACTAGCTGAGTCCGGTTTGGCTCAGTGGTAGAGCGTCGGCCTGCGGACTGAAAGATCCTGGGTTCGATTCCGGTCAAGGGCATGTACTTTGGTTGCGGGCACATCCCCGGTGGGGGGTGTGCAAGAGGCAGCTGGTCGATGTTTTTCTCTCATCGACGTTTCTAGCTCTCTATCTCTCTCCCTTCCTCTCTAAAAAATCAATAAAATATATTAAAATAAAAAATAAAAAAATATATAAGACTAGCAAAGAGATTATAGCTTAAACTTTTGTGTGCTTTGTTTAGCTTGAGGAAATGAACAGCATGCTAACCAAAGATGTTGAATTATTAAGAAAAGAAAATGAAGAGCTAACTGATAAAATGAGGAAATCAGAGGAAGGTATGTAAGGTTATTTTTTTTAAGCATAACATTAAATCAGTTCAGAGTAAATCTTTAGTTGTTTACATAATGTTTTAGAAATGTTTGTTTTCAAATGTTAATAACTTCTTTAGCCTTAAGAATTATTTTAGTAGAACTTAAATAGTCTCACTCTTAAAAAAATAAATAAATAAGGTAAATCCATGAGGTGATGGATATGTTAACTCAATGGGGAAGGTAAGAATCCTTTCACAGTATATATACAGGGTGGGCAAAAGTAGTTTTACAGTTGTGAGTATGTGAAAGAATTTATTCTTGTATTTATTAATTATTGTATTATTTATTTGTATTAAATTGCTGATTTGGAGTGCAGAAACTAAAGTAATTAATGCCATACAATAATATTTTATATAAATTGTTGACAGATTTCAAACAGAAGAAAGAGGAGGAGATCAATAATCTTAAGGCTGCCTTTGAAAAGAATATCAGTACAGAACGAACTCTTAAAACACAGGTACATGTGCTCAGTCTTTTCCATGTTTGTATTTGAGTATTGAATATTCAGAAGTTAATATTTGCTTTTTATGCACTTTTTCTTATAACTGAGGGTATAATTCCTGACTGGTTACTCAGTGGTTAGAGCGTCAGCCTATGGACCAAGGAGTCTTGAGTTCAATTCCCAGTCAAAGGCACATACCTCAGTTGCAGATTCCCCAACCCCATCAGGGGTACATGTGGAAGGCAGCCAGTAGATATGTCTCTCTCACATCGATGTTTCTTTCTTTCTCTCTCCTTCTTTCCCCTCCTTTCCTTCCACTCTCTCTGGAAATCATTGAAGAAATAATATCCTTGGGTGAAGATTAAAAAAAAAAAAAGAATGAGGGTATAAGAGTCAGGCTTTTCATTGGAACAAATAACGCAATAGTTTTTCTTCATTAAGTAAAGAAGATTTATTCAGGAAATAGGATTTCAATTGAGTTAAGAAAGCTAGTTTGTCTAGTCACTTGACTAGAAAGAATATTTTAGATTGTACAGAAGACTCTAATTTACAGTTGTAAAATTTAATGAAGGGAAAACATTGAAGCAAGAGAGAAGAATTGGGAATAAATAGAAACTATAGGGGTGGATATAATACTTTGTATTTAATGCTGCAGCTAAATCAGATTTTTTTACACTAAAACTTGATATCCTGTCTTTTTATAAAGGTATCCATTGTTGAATGCTAAATGACTTTTTCAAGCTTATCTGGTTTTTACATTTGAGCAGTGAGATAAGTCAGCAATTGTTGCTACTTGTGCTACCAATTATCATGTCCCAACTTTCATTAGGTTATTCTAATTTTTATGCACAAAAAAAGTTCTCCTTATTGATTTTGAAGAAAGAATACATTTTTAGTGGAAATTTAAATTGGATGGCTACACTGAAATTCTTATTAATATTTTAATAGGCTGTTAACAAGTTGGCAGAAATAATGAATCGAAAAGACTTTAAAATTGATAGAAAGAAAGCTAATACACAGGATTTGAGGAAGAAAGAAAAGGAAAATCGAAAGCTACAACTGGAACTCAACCAAGAAAGAGAGAAATTCAACCAGATGGTAGTGAAACATCAGAAGGAACTGAATGACATGCAAGCGGTAAGGTTTTTGTGTGTATGTTCATGGAGGATTATTTTCTTAAATTGTTATTGCTGAATATGTATATTATTCTTGTTTATATTAGATTTTTCATATAAAAATGCATATTTTGGTATATACTCTCCACAATTTGATTATTACCCCAATATGAACCATGATCTTGAAATAGAAAGATGCTGTATTGTCTATTAACCATTATATCTTGAGTAATTTTTACCCATTAGCATCTGCTCTTAGATTTTAGGCTGAAATTGAGATATGGCTGGTATTATCTATATATAAAAAGACAATGACCATCGTGGCCATAGCGACTGGTCACTATGATGCCCACTGTGGCAAGCGAAACGCCCGATCAGGGGGTTGGGCCGGCTGGCCAACCTTGTGGCCCCTCCCCGCTGCCTGCCTGCTCCTGATGGGATTCTACCACCCTGATCAAGAGCGGGCCTATGGCCAACTGCTCCCTCACTTCCCCTAGGCCAGTCCTGTCCCCTATTAGCCTGCCCCACCTTGATAGGCCTGCAGCCCCTGTTCCCTGGCTGGTCCATCCCTGATTGCACTTCCCCACCCCATAGGGGGTGGGGCCAGCCTGCCAACCTTCTGAAGCCCTTCCCTCTGCCTGATCCTACCCCAGATCAGCCCCCCTTCCTATCAGGGGTAGTGCCAGCCAGCTAACCACTTATGGCCCCTCCCCAAGGCCACTGGCCCCCTGATTGGCATCCCTTACCCCATTTGGGGCCGTGTGTGCTGGCCCACCCCCCCACACCTCCTCTCTATGGCCACCCCATCCCCTGCTGGCCAATCACCCACTGCCCCTTTTCCCAGCTGGCCTGGCTCTGATGAGGCCCTGATTGGGGCTGACCAACTAGCCAACTCCCAACATCTCCTCCTCCTGACAGGCCCAGCCCCAATCGCCCAATTGGGGCAGGGCCAGCTGGACCCCACCTGTGCATGAATTTGTGCACTGGGCCTCTTGTAGTGACTATAATTGGAATAGAGGTTTTGGTTTATTGGAGCTATATTTTATATATTGATACTTGGTATATTATTTTCTCTAATTAGGACTCAACTTTTCTGAAATCAGAATGTCAAACTTAATTTTTTGATATGTGCTTGATTGTTAATAGCACAAAGTTGAGAACACATTCTCCGGTCTTATTAGATTCAAGCATTGACTCTATCATTTAAAAATCTTACTGTACCGAGAAGCTTTCTATACCCTTTAAACCATTTCATTTGGAACCTCTCAAAAGCATTTTCTATTAACAAGTGTTTCTTTTTTGTTTTTTGATGCTTTGTATTAAAAAAAAAAGTTCTCATTTAAAGCAAGGATAAAAGGAGCTTAACCAAACAATGATGTGTTCCTGAGGAAGAGAACTTCCTTTTGTATAGTCAGATCAAAATCTGTAATAGTAAACATTCATGAAGTTTTTAGTAAAATTTTCAGTTTTGCAACTTTAGATTATTTATTTATAGTTCCATCAATTTTTAATTTCTAATGTTGGAAATTTATTCTTGACTCTTTATATTATCTTGGTATTTTTCAAAAATAGCAATTGGTAGAAGAATGTACACATAGGAATGAGCTTCAAATGCAGTTGGCTAGCAAAGAGAGTGATATCGAGCAATTGCGTGCTAAACTTCTGGACCTATCGGATTCTACGAGTGTTGCTAGTTTGCCTAGTGCTGATGAAACTGATGGAAACCTTCCAGGTAAGAATATTTCTATTACTTCATTCAAGTTTGCTTAAATGTCATGGGAATTAATGTGTGTTTCTTTCATTTGATATTCTGCTTCTTGTCATTTTGTCCATGTATCCTTAAGAGGGAGTTTGTTTCTGATAGCTAGTCTCTTTTTTTTTTTTTTTTTTTTAAATATATTTTATTGATTTTTCACAGAGATGAAGAGAGAGGGATAGAGTTAGAAACATCAATGAGAGAGAATCATCGATCAGCTGCCTCTTGCACACCCCCTACTGGGGATGTGCCCGCAACCAAGGTACATGCCCCTGCCTGGAATCAAACCTGGGACCTTTCAGTCCACAGGCCGACACTCTATCCACTGAGCCAAACTGGTACCCACAAGTGTCTTGGTATTTGTATACTTAGTGCACTTCATGGAATAAAATCAGTCATAAGCAATGTTAGGCTATTATAATAGATCTGAGAGGCTATATCTGAATAGAAACCTGAAGAACTTTATGAACCTATTCTAAGCAGCCTAACTTTAAGGTGAAAGTTAAAGCTGCTGCAGCAGCTCTTTAAATTTTTTTTTTTTTTTTTGTATTTTTGTGCTAAAACTAAGAACTGTACTTAATAAGAACCACAGCAACCCTATATAGAAGCATATCTAATGTAGTAGTGATAAACTTTAGTCAGACTTTAAGTTTCAAATTTAGAGAAATAGATAAAAAGGTTTGGAAGACATGGACAGGAGTCAGGGAGTTAAGTAAAGACAAAGTGCATAGCTAGGACTTCAGACTTTTTTCTGTCTTCTTTTCTCCAGTGGCTCAGTTGGTTGGAGTGTCATTCTATATACTGAAAGGTGGCAGGTTCAATTCCTAGTCAGGGCACATACCCAGGTTGTGGGTTCAATTCCTGGTCAGACAGGTGTGAAAGGCAACTCATCAATGTTTTCCTCTCTCTCTTCTTCCCTCCCTCCCTCCTTCCCACCTTCACCCTACCCCTTTCTCTCTTTTTCTCTCAAATCAATAAAAAGTATGTCCTCAAATGAAAAAAATAAATAAAAAGAGGAAGGTGATGAATTTTATCTTCTATCCTGGGTTATTTAGGAAGTCTAAACTCAAAGGATCATCAGATGGTTTGATTGGTAGACTTGGGTTAGGAATTCAGTTAGATTTCAGATTCTGGATTTAATAAATCCTCTTTTGAGTCAGTCAACAAAGAGATTTTTAAAATTTTCTACTGGCTCCACGATGAGTATATTACTTAAAGTAGCTGGGTATGTAAAAAATAAAATAAAATAAAATAGCTGGGTATGTTCAGAAATTTTGTTTTTATTTCAAAGTCCAAACTCAGTGAGGGGAAAAATTAAAAATACTGGTGGCCTTTCTCATTGCTATAAAAGGAAACCAATTAAGGTACCTCTTCCTCTCTTACTGTGTTCTTAGATTTCAAACTTATTAAGATTTCTACAGTTTTGTATAGTTGATTTTCATATTGGAGGTAGAAGTCAAAGGATAACCTTTATCAGTATTAATTTACCTTTCTCTGTTAGATATTTTGCTAGTAAATTGAAAATCTGTATTAAACCTACCATTTTCTAGATGCCTAAAAATGGTCTCTTGCAAATAAAGTTTAAAGTTTGCAGTTATATATAGAAACAATTATTAAAGAATTTTTACTTTATTCTTAATATCAGAGAGTTATATACCATTCAGGTATCTGAAAGATTTTTCAAAGGTAATGACTAATGATTAATTTTACTAATTTAGAAAATTAGTAAATGGACTTAAAATACAGACTAAAAAAAGAAAGGACTTTCAATGAAATAATTTACTTAACAGTTAAAAGCCTTTTGAAATATGGATATTTTTAGTTTGATAAAATGTTCTTTTTTAAGTAGTTGGGTAGATGAACTGATATGTGACTTTAATTGTTTCTTTTAGATTTCATCATTTAATATAAAGTCTTATTTAATTATGTGTATCTAAATTTCAGCTTTTATAATTTTAGCGGACATCTTATCATTAACTAGATTAAATCTAAGTTCCAAACTTGGAAAAGCTTAGAAAAAAATCATTACTCATTCTCTCACTTATAACCCTTTGAAGTTCTTAAAAACACTCCTCTTATTAATTTTATGTCTTTATCCTTCTTTTGTTTTTGTGACAGGTTGTAACCCAGCACACTTTGTGAATATAAAGATTACCTTTAGGTTTAAGTTTGCCTATTGACTAGATGACATAAAGACTAATGTAATAAATGTCTCTCTTTCCTTGTCTTGTAACTATTGACCTAAGAATATTAAAATAGATAAAGAATATTCATTATATCTTATTGATATCTGCACCATTCTCTTTCCATCCAGTTGATCTCAAGTTGTGCAATTTAAACCTTTAAATAGTAGATTTCTTTATGTGTTTCCAAGTATTTGAGTATATGAGAGTTTGTGATTTTGTCCAAATATAACCAATGATTTGAAGATAATCAGTGCATCTGAATTCTTACATTGGTTGATTTCATTTTTTAATATCACTTCTGAATATAATTAAAATAAGTTAGAATGGTTCTTTAGTTCTGTTTCTCAAGTAGTATGTGGTTTATCCAGGTAAACTTAGGTAGTCATCAGAGTTTAGCTTTGATGTTTAAATTGGCTTTATTAAATAGTGATTTACATCTAGTTAGTTTCTTTATCCCTTGTTTGGGTAAAGGAGTCAATTGCTGATATTGCAGTAATGCACATCTAATTTTTTTTTAAGTTAAAGTTGCTATACAAATACAGAAAATGTGGTGCCAACTTGTTTTTGTACTTCTGTAGTATGTTATTGATGATAACCCAGATTTAGAAGTCCTCAACATTTCTTTATCTGGAGAAGCTGATTTCTGTGTCTGTGATGTAAAAGATGGAATTAACTACATTATACTTTCAGTTTGCCACTTATATTAGTGCATTGGTCATGGTTGTAAAGGTGGTCTTTATAATATTAAAAGCTGGTGCATTAACTTGCACCTAAGAAGAAAGGAAATAACCTGACTGGTGTAGTTGAGTGTTGACCTATGAACCAGGGGTTCATGGGTGGATCCCTGGTTAGGGCACATGCCTAAATTGTAGGCTCAATCCCCAGTAGGTGGCAGACAATCAATGATTCTCTCTCATCATTGATGTTTCTCTCTCTTCCTCTCCCTTCCTCTCTGAAATCAATAACTTTTTTTTTTTTTTTAAAGAAAGGACACAGAGGAGAAGCTAGTATGTATTTTTTTGTTATAGCTGAGTGTGTGTATATATATATATATATATATATATATATATATATATATATATATATATATATATATATTAAAAATAATGTATTTGTTAAACTGTTTCTCTGAAAATATTTCACCAGAAGGAAAAACTAAAATTAACTTCGATAATATTATTGTTTTAAATTGGAAAAAACCACATATCCTCTGTACCTTTTCTGAGCCCTAAATTTCTTCATTTAAATTACAACAAATATAAACTGGACTTATTTGATTCATAAAATGCCTTTAGTATGTAAAATTTCTACAGAATATTAAAATGACAGATAAAGTTATAAAATGTACTAATTCATTGAAAATATAATAAAGAGAACACTGGCAGGTTAATCCAAACTCAGAATCAGAAAGAATAAATATTTTTGGCATTTATCCTCATAGAAAAAAAATAACTGAGGGGGATATTTTGGCATATACAATTTTGTATAAATGCCAAGATTTCAGTGGCTTTCATGTCTTTTATTTTCAGTGAGTAATTACTGGTATTAAATAGATTTAGGAATAAGAGGCCAAGTTTTGGCACTTTGGAGGAAAATTGTCCTAGCAATAATTCTTTGCTTTTCTAAGAGAATATTTGTGAATGATCACTAGCCTTCTGCATGTCATTTAATATAAAACAGCCCTTTGGTTGTTAAATTATAATCAGTATTTACAGAGAATAGCTTAATTGGCTAACTTTTAAAAAGCAGAATTGCAAAATAATTAATAGTTTATCAAGTACCTACTCTATATATCAGATGCAGTGGGGTATATAAAAGTGTTAGGCTATGGTCTCTGCACTCTCAAAACTTACCAAGGAACTACCTAAGGAAATAAAATAATTATTGATGGGCTAAATAATAGCAAATAAGAAAAAGCTGGGAGAAGAGGGGAATCATTTTGAGCTGAAGTTTCTCACTATTTCATCTACTTTAACAAGTGCAAGGGAATAACAAAAGCAAAGAACATTAAGTACATTAAAGAAGTTGGAATAAGAACATGACCCTGATTCAATTAACTTCAAAGCTTGTTATAGGACATAATAGTATTGTGCTCTAGGAACTTAAGCTCAGAAATTAGAATGCTTTGACGTTTACTGATAAGAGTAGCCTTGGGCAAATCAGTTTCCCTTGCTAACCCTCAGTCTCTTTCTTTGTAAATGGAAGATGATAACAGAACCTATCCTATCCTATATTCCTGTATTCGTGGAATTACACACATTTTTAGATGAGATATTACTTGTAAAACACTTGGCAAAAATAAATGTTCAGTGAATGTTATCCATTTTTGTTACCTTTAATGTAACCCTGAGCTCTTTTACAGCCTTTGTGTGGAAAGGGCAATATATAGTATTCTGATTAGATCATGGTATAATCTGTCACATTATAATAATGTATTTTAAATTTGGTTACTTTTCCATTCTTTTGTTGTTTCAAATATAAAATAGATATATAAAAACAATTAAGTGCACTTATCTCTAACCTGATATAAAATAACTATTTCTAATGGAATCATCTTTTTCTCGCAAATATTTCTTTTTTTTTTTTTTAATATATTTTATTGATTTTATACAGAGAGGAAGGGAGAGAGATAGAGAGTTAGAAACTTCGATGAGAGAGAGTCATCAATCAGCTGCCTCTTGCACATCCCCTACCGGGGATATGCCCACAACCAAGGTACATGCCCTTGACCGGAATCGAACCCGAGACCCTTCAGTCTCCAAGCCGACGCTCTATCCATTGAGCCAGATCGGTCCCGGCTCTCGCAAATATTTCTAATAAATAATTATAATTAAACAGTAGTGATAATTACTATAAAATACCTTGATAGAATTAGTCTAGAATTTCTGTTATGTACAAACTCGTTAAAATATTAAAGGTTGACCAACTGAATTCTGTATTCTTTTGCTATTTATTAAATTCTAGTACCATAATTTTTAGTTTGATGAGAATTGTAATTGGACTTACCACTAGAATTAAGTACCCCACCAACTAAATTTGGACAATATTATTGAAATTATTATGGGTGTTTTACCAAAAAGTTTATCAGAATATTGTACTGAGAAAACAAATAAAATGCTTGTCTCTTATTCTTTATATCTAGTTGATTCTGCCTGCATTCCTTATTTATTTATCTTCTATTCTTATCTTCTGTGAGTAATAGGACACTTCTGTACTTTTGCTTGCTCTTTCTTGTGTAAATCATGGCTCTGATTTGTTCTACTTGCTGCATAATTTTTTTTTTGCTAAGTATTTTTATATGAATGTTAAATGATATTTATAGTCTTCTGGATCATATCCCATTTAAGCTGCAGTCCGTTCCAGTCTTGCCTGGCTCTTAAGGTTATTGTTGTTATTTCATACTTTTGTAATTGAGTACTAAATGTTAATTTTACGGGGAAAGTGGCTTGGAATTTTTTTCTGCAATTTTTGTATGGCCATTAAAATTGATTTGTGTGATTGAAGCATGAAAGAGCAAATTATAGCACTTATTCATTTAGCTGTGTTCAAATGCCTGTTGCTGCATGCTGTCAGACAAATTGTTAATAGCTTTTCATTTTGTTATAATTTAAGACTGAATATTATATATTATTTTTCTCTTAGAGTCAAGAATTGAAGGTTGGCTTTCAATACCAAATAGAGGAAATATCAAACGATATGGCTGGAAGAAACAGGTATAATATGCCTCATAGTTTTCCATTTGATATTTTGTTATACATTTACTTTTAAGTGTAGAACTTGTATTAACTGCCCTATTATTAGCATTGATTTTAGATTAATCTATATATACAAAAGCTTAAGCAATTGTTACAACTGGAACAACCGGTTGACCACTCACTATGATGCTCACTAACCACCAGGGGGCAGACAGACAATGCAAAAGCCGCCCCTGGTGGTCAGCCCATTCCCACAGGGGGTGTGCCCACTCAGTCAGAAGCCTGGATCATAGTTGGCAAGCGCAGCTGTGGCAGTGGAGCCTCTCCTGACTCTGCAGGCAGCGGCAGGCGCAATGGGCTGGGATGAGAGTGAGCAGTGTGGCACTGGCTCGGGTTCTTCCCTGTCTGTCGGCGCACTGCTACATCTCACAGGGGATGTCCAACTGCCAGTTTAGGCTCAATACCCGCAGGCCTGGCCTTCAACCAGCAGTCGGACTTCCCCTGAGGGGCCCTGGATTGCAAAAGGGCACAGGCCAGGCTGAGGGGACTCTCCCTCCCTTGCATAAATTTGTGTACTGGGCCTCTAGTGTAATATAATTTACTAGTAATGGCAGGTATGCCTATTACTTTTAACCAAGTTAATGTTGATCTTATGCCTCTTCCCTCTTTTCTCATTTCAGTATGTTGTGGTAAGCAGCAAGAAAATTTTATTTTATAACGATGAACAAGATAAGGAACAATCCAATCCATCTATGGTATTAGACATAGAGTAAGTTGCTTTTGATTGAATTTTAAGTCAATTAAGTGTTATGATAATTATTTTGATTTTATTTTTTTAATAATTCTTCATTGTTGGAAGTATTACATATATAATCAATTATTTTTAGACTTATAATTTAGTTTATATTTTATTGAAACAGTGTTACACTTCTTTTCTTATATTTAAATAATAACTTTATATTAAATCTTAAACAAAATGTGAAAGGGAAAATTTTGCATAACTGTTTTATGTATTCTAAAGATAATATATGTTTTTAAATGATCACCCAAGGATATATTCATTGATTTTTAGAGAGAAAGGAGGGTGGGAGAAAGAGAGAAACATCAATGTGAGAAACGTTGATTGGGTGCTTCTCATACACCTTGCTCAGGGATTGAACCCACAACCTTTTGGTGTATGGGAAGATGCTGCAGCCAATTAAACCACCCAGCCAGGGCACAATTTTCTAAAGTAAGATTTAATGTAAAGTTTTTATTTCAATGTTTATTGGTTCTAAGTTCAGAAAACATCTCACAATGTATATGATTATGTGGTCATTTTAAAAAAGGAAATATAAATGTATCTCTTATTTTCTAATAATAGATCAAAGAGGCCTTAATAAGCTTGGGTTTTTTTTCCTTGTATTCATTCTAAAGTCATTTCCCAGGACTGCTTCCTATATTACAACAGGTGCTATAGATTATATAAAGAAGATCTGTGAAATATGCCTTTGGTATTTTAATGGGGATTGCATTGAATCTATAGATTGCTCTGGGTAATATGGACATTTTAATGATGTTGATTCTACCAATTCATGAACATGGTATATTCTTCCATTTGTTTATGTTTTCCTCTATCTCTGTTTTCAATCTCCTGTAGTTTTCTTAGTACAGGTCTTTTACCTCCTTAGTTAAGTTTATTCCTAGGTATCTTAATTTTTTGTTATAATGGTAAGTGGGATTGCTTTTTAGTTTCTCTTTCTGTAAGTTCATTATTGGTGTATAAAAAAGTCATAGATTTCGAAGTGTTAATTTTGTATCCTGCTACATTGCCAAATTTATTTATTAGTTCTAGTAGTTTTCTGATGGAGTCTTTAGGGTTTTCTATGTACAATATGTCATCTGTGAGTAATGACAGTTTTACTTTCTTTTCCAGTTTGGATGCCTTTTATTTCTTCTTGTCTAATTGCTATGGTTAGCACTTCCAATATTATGTCAAACAGGAGTGATTAGAGTGGACATTCCTGTCTTGTTCCTGTTCTTAGGTGAAAAGTTTTAGTTTTTGCCCATTGAGTATAATGTTGGCTATAGGTTTCTCATATAAAGCTTTTATTATGTTGAGGTATGATCCCTCTATTCCACTTTGCTGAGGGTTTTTATCAAGAAAGGGTATTAGATTTTGTCAAATGCTTTTTCTGCATCAATTGATATGATTATGTGATTTTTATCTCTGTTTATGTGTTGTATCACTTTTATTTATTTGCAGATATTGTTCTATCCTTGCATCCCCAGAATAAATCCCATTTGGTAAAGATGTATAATCTTTCTAATGTAATGCTGGATCCGATTTGCTAGAATTTTGTTGAGGATTTTAGCATCTATGTTCATCAGGCCTGTAATTCTCTTTCTTTGTAGTGTCTTTATCCAGTTTTGGAATTAGGATAATGCTGGCTTCATAGATTAAGGTAGTTCTGTATTTAAGTTTAAAGACTAAAGGTAAAACATAAGCAACAAAATGTAAATTTAAAGTGTAGTGGGTGTATTCAAGAAAAACATAAACTTAAAATGAAGTATTGCCATTGGAATTAAACATTTGTGGAGCCATTTATACTTAGAATATAAAGGAACTGAACAAATACCAGAGTGCTGGTATTTCATTTCTTTTTTTTTTTTTTTAAAGCATTAGTTTTGAAAATTTAAATGACCATGTAAATGGAATAATACATAAACAATATAAGAGACATCATCTTTCAACTAAGTTACTTTTTAGATCAATGAGAGGTAATTTTTGTTTTATCTTTTTATTGAGGTATGATTTTCGTATATTAAAATGCGTGCATCTTAAATGATCTGTTCAGTGACTTTTATAAACCTCCATGTAATCACCACTTAAGACAAGATAAAATAAAACATTTCCATTATCTTAGAAATCTCACCTTTGCCCCTTCTCAGAAGGAAAAAAATCTGGCCCTAGCCGGTGTCACTTACTCGGTTGAGCATAGACCCATGCACCAAAAGGTCTCCCGTCTGATACTCGGTCAGGGCACATGCCCATATTGTGGACTCTATCCCTAATGGGTGGGAGATGCAGGAGGTAGCATATCAATGTTTCTCCCTCACATTGATGTATCTATCTCTCTCCTTCTCTTTTCCTCTCTCTAAAATAAACACGTTTTTAAAAAATCTGAATTCTAGCCACGCCATTGTGGCTCAGTGGTTGAGCATCGACCCATGAACCAAAAGGGTTCTGGTTGGATTTCCAGTCAAGGCACATGCCCAGTTTGTGGGCTCAATCTCCAGTAGGGGGTGTGCAAGAGGCATCCAATCAATGATGTTTCTCTCTTATTAATGTTTCTATCCCTCTCCCTTCCTCTCTAAAAATTAATTTAAAAAAAACATTTAAAAACCTAAATTCTATCACTAAAATTAATTTTGCCTAGTCTACAACAATATAAACGGAATTATACAGTGTATACTCTTTTCCGTCTGGCTTTTTTTGCTCAGCATAGTGTTTTACTATGTGTAGCAATTTCTGTTGGTTTTGTTGGTTTGTTTTTTGTTTGCTTTTTTTAATTTCAGAATAGTATTCTGTTGAAAGAATATATCTCAATTTTTTCATCCATTGTTCTGTTGACAGACATTTGAGTTGCTTCCAGTTTGGGACTATTAGAAATTAGACTGCTATGAACATTCCTTTTAGGAACTTTAGGAGTGGAATTCTGTGTCATAGAAGAGAACTGTGTTTAATCTTTTAAAAATCTACTAAATTATTTTCAAAAATGTTTACTCTATATTTTTACTAGTTTACCCTAAATGTTTACTATTAATATGGGTTTCAGTTGCTCCACATCCTCACCAACATTTGATGTTGTCAGTCTTTGATTTTTTTCTTTTCTAATTAATAGGAAATGCTATCTCATTGTTTTAATTTGTATTTTTCTCGTGACTAATTATGCCAAGAATCTTTTTATATGTTTATTGGCTATTTGTATATATTTTCGTGTTTCCAAGTCTTTTGACAATTTTTTAATTATGTGCTTATTTTTTTACTACTGATTTGTAGAAGTTCTGTATATATTATGGATACAAATTCAATGACAGAAATATGTAATGTAAATATTTCCCTGTGTGTAGCTTGCCTGTTCATTTCCTTTACAGTATCTTTAAACAGAGACCATATAGCAAGTTTTTTTAAAAAAATTATTGTGTTTTTTAATCTGTCCAAGAAATTTTTGCCTAACCAAAGATTGTTGAAGGTGTTCTTTGTTTCCTTCTAGGAAACTTATTATTCTAGGTTTTACAATTAAGTTATGATTAATCTAAAATTTAAGAGGTTCTGGTTGTTGTTTTTTTCCATGTGAATAGCTGGTTGTTTTTTTCCATATGAGTATCTGGTTGTTCCAACACTATTTATTTTTATATATTGATCTTGAATTTTTTAATCTTATATTCACTTATTTTTATAGTTTTTTTTATTCCACAGGGATTTTCTACATATATAATCATATCATCTCCAAATAATAATAGTTTTACTTCTTTCTTTTCAATCTGTATGCCCTTATCACATGTATAGATTCTTATGACCATCAACACAGTCAGTATACAGAACAGTTTCATCACAGGGATTCCTCACATTACCCTTTTATAGCCACAAGAAGCTCCTTTTCTTCATCCCTCCCTAATTCCTGGCAATCACTAATATGTTCTCCATCTCTATGATTTTATAATTGCAAGGATGTTATATAAATGGAATAAAATACTATATAAAGTATTTATAATACTATATAAAATACTATATAAAGTATTCAGGGTTTTTTTTCTTTCAGTTATTGAATAGTTTAATATTCCATGGTTTGCATGTACCACCATTTGTTTAACAATTCATTTGAGTTGTTTCCAGTTTTGGCTATTGTAGATAAAGCTGTGAACATTCCTATATAGATTTTCACATAGATATAAATTTTTCTTTGGAGTAAAGACCCAGGAATGCAATTGCTACCTTCTTTTTCAGAGTGGCTCTGCAATTTTACATTTCTACCACAATTGCATGAGTGATCTAGTTTCTCTACATGCTCATCAGCATTTGATTTGTTAGTATTTTTATTTTTCAAATTCTTATAGGTGTATAGTGATACTGTGATTTTGTTATATTTTTCTAATGACTAATTTCTCTTCAAGAAATGTTTGTTTATACCTTTTACTGAGTTTTTATGATGGATTTTATCATATTTGTTTCCACTTTAGTAAATTGTTTCATGTTCGACCTGTAACCCAAGGAGATGTGTATAGAGCTGAAACTGAAGAAATTCCTAAAATATTTCAGGTAAAAATATAAATTATAGTTTCAGAAGATCTTTTACCTAAGTACTAAATACTTTTTTTTGAGGTAAATATATAATCACCAATGCTTTTATACATTTGAAATTTGTTTGTACAGATACAAATCTTTTTTATCTTCTTTTATCATTCCTGAATAGATACTTTATGCAAATGAAGGTGAATGTAGAAAAGATGTAGAGATGGAACCAGTACAACAAGCTGAAAAAACTAATTTTCAGAATCACAAAGGCCATGAGTTCATTCCTACACTCTACCACTTTCCCGCCAACTGTGAGGCCTGTGCCAAACCTCTCTGGCATGTTTTTAAGCCACCCCCTGCCCTAGAATGTCGAAGATGCCATGTTAAGTGCCACAGAGATCACTTAGATAAGAAAGAGGACCTAATTTCTCCATGTAAAGGTAAGGCATGAAAAATTTTACAACTTAAAACAAATTAGAGCCCTCGCTGGTTTGGCTCAGTGGATAGAGCATAGGCCTATGGACAGGAAGGTCCCAGGTTTGATCCCAGTCAGGGGCACATGCCAGGATTGTGGGCTCAATTCCCAGTAGGGGGTGTACAGGAGGCAGCCGATCAATGATTCTCATTATTGATGTTTCAACCTCTCTGACCCTCTTCCTTCCTCTCTGAAATCAATAAAAATATATTTGAAAACACACGCACACACACACACACACACACACGTACAACATAAATTAGAGAATTACATCCCAATAACTTTTTCAAATGTAGCATTTTCTATACTAAGTTGAAAAAGTATAAGCTGTAAAATATATGTCTAAAGAACCTTTGTTGCAAGGTAATTTCTACCTCCATTGGTCTGGACCTTCTAATAAATACAGAACATGCTTAAATTCAAGAAAAAAAAGATTATAAGAAGTAACATTTTGATACGATGGGACAACATATAACTATCATTTTTCAGTTATAGATTTGGCTTTGAACATAATGTCTTTAAAAGAGACATTTGTAAAAAAAAAAAAAAAAAATAGCTATATGTGAGCTATTCTACCCCTTGAATTTTTACCTCTGACTTTTCCCCCCCCTCTTTTTATTGTTTCAGATATGAAGTGAGAGAGATAGAAACATCAGTGATGAGAGAGAATCATTGATTAGCAGCCTCCTGCATGCCCCAAACTGGGGATCAAGCCCCCCAATCCAGGCATATCATATGCCCTGACCAGGAACTTAACTGTGACCTCCTGGTTTATAGGTTGACACTCAGCCACTGGGCCATGCCAACCAGGCCTGATTTGTTTTCTTTTTATCAATATCTGGTTTTCACTGCCTGGACCAGCATACTGTATCATAGACAAAATCTCTATTTTACCAGAGGTAGCTAGAGGGAAAGAATACAGAATATTGGTATTTTAAGATAAGAAACTTGTGTTCTAAATACACATTTATTAGTTTCACTAATGCATTTATTGAATTTCTGATTTTACTTTGTTTTTCTTACTAGTTTATAACTAGTGTTGTTGTGGTTTTTTTGTGTTTTTTTTTTTTTAATTTCAGCCTTAATTATATTAAGGGGAAAGTGAAACTGTCCAAGCTTAATTAAGCATACATAGTAAATCTTTTCAGATTTTAAGAACTTAGAAAATGATGCATTTAATAGGGCTTTTTTAGATTTTATATGACTTTAATTATACTCTTTTTTTTCTTAACATAGTAAGTTATGATGTAACATCAGCAAGAGATATGCTGTTGTTAGCATGTTCTCAGGATGAACAAAAGAAATGGGTAACTCATTTAGTGAAAAAGATACCTAAGAATCCACCATCTGGTTTTGTTCGTGCATCCCCTCGAACACTTTCTACAAGATCCACTGCAAATCAGTCTTTTCGGAAAGTGGTTAAAAATACATCTGGAAAAACTAGGTAAGGATTGAAATGCTTACCTTTTTAACAATGTGAAAGTGATGAGTATCATATGTAACTAGGTATTTATATATGACTAGAAATGACTTTACAAATTAGTTTAATTGATTCCTGTTAAATAATATTTTATATATCATTTATTTACTTCCATGTCAAATTTTGTCATTGGTTGGTATACATGGCACATATTTAGCCCATAATGGTTTTTGTTTTGTTTTGTTTTAGTAATTTTTTTATTGTTGAAAGTATTACATATTTCTCCTTTATTTCCCCATTGACCCCCTCCAGCCCGCCCTGGCCTCCCGCCTTTCACCCCCAGGCTCTCACTGCCCTATTATCTGTGGCCGTGGGTCATGCATATATGCAGCCAGGTTCTTGGTTGATAACTTCCCACCTATTGCCCATAACATCTTAAAAACCTTGTGTTTTATCCCTTTTTTAATATAAACAAATTTATATAAAACTTTGATCACTTTTTATTTTTAACTATATTGACATAGTGGGTTTTTAAAAAAATCAAAATTACTTGGTATTATCAGTGACTATGATGTTACAAATAAACTTTTCAGTAAGTTCTCTTTTTGACATGACTAAATGAGATTCAAGGGAATTAGATAACTTGAACAAGACTACAGAGCTAACTAGAAATATAGTCAGGATTGGAACCCATTTTCATCTAATTCTAAAGACTATGCTTTTTCTCCTTTACCAAGTACCAACTTTTGCTGGAGTGTACTCCCTATATTAAGAGGGACATTTGACTCTAAAAGTGAGACCTATTACAGATTTGCCTCTCTGTAGAGTCCTATATCAATCCTCTCCTGTATAAGCTAAAAACTAGATCTGAAATTATTTAAACTTGCTTTTATTGCTTTGTAAAATGTGTGTGTGTGTATACACATACATACATAAATATACATAGTACATATATACATACTAGTATATGCATATATATGTGTGAGAGATATATGTTTGAAATTAGAGTAGAAGCAAAAAGGAGATATTAAGTGTATTTTTCCATTTTCTTGTCTTTCAAGTTTTGTGTGTTAGTTATTAGATATAAAAATAATGTAATTTACCTTTCCCTACAACTGAGTACATGTTTTAAATTATAGTTTTTCTTTTTTCCCCACCAACAGTTAACCATGTGACCTAGCACCTTGTGGAATCATGTGGGATGCTACCTGATGAACCAGGCTTCTTTAACCATGCAGAACACAATATCACAGGCTTCAGGGTTAAGATTGCTGTTATTCTGTCCATGCTTTGGCACGAAAGCACACCAAGGGTTTTTTTGTTTTTTGTTTTTGTTTTTTTTATTGCGGGTTTGCCTACAGGTAGATTAGATTAATTATTACTATGTAATGCAAGTACAATTGGTGAAAAGCTTAGCTAGATATATATTTTTTAAAAAGGTGCTGCCTTTTTGAATTTCTAAGAAAATGCCTGTCAATCATGATAGAACACAGTTTCCTCAGATGAGTAAGAGGAAGGGATTTCACTTTTAAGTGGAATGGCCATCACTATCAAGATCAGCTCATGGAAGGAGTAAAGAAAATATCTCAAAATGAGACAACTGCAATTTTTTTTAATGACTTCAGTTTTTGTGCTCTTGCAAGACTATACAAAACTATTTTAAGAAAGCAGTGACTTCACTTGACTTCAGTGCCCTCACTGTAGAATTTAAAGCCTTATTGTTGATTGCCATGGTGGACTTATGGAGAATAATTATCTTACATTATGCTTTACAAAATACTGTATGTGTTTCAGCAAATTTGTAGATTGGTGAATGGGAGAAGGCAAAAAAATATTACACTTAATCTATGCATTTTTGCCAAGCCATATTGAGTTATTTTACTACTAGAGACTTTAAGAACTAACTGTAAAAAAGAACCAAGTTTAAAAACATTTTGTGGGGTACATCATTTCTGTAATTGTATAATGTATTTCTTTGTGGTTTTAAGTGATAAAGACATTAAGTTAACAAACATATAAGAAATGTATGCACTGTTTGAAATGTAAATTATTCTTAGAACACTTCAATGAGCATTGCATTGAGCTTTTAGTGCCTTAATTTGAGAGAATTATTTTACTGCCATGCCTAAATATAGAAGTTTCAAAAAACATATTTTCAAAAAAATTATGTCAGTGAGTTTTTCATTGATATTTGGTTTAATTTTAAATATTTAGAGGTTTGTTGGACTTTCATAAATTAAGTACAATCTTTGCATCTGACTACCTGCTAAAATAATGAATGACTTTATAAAACTGCAAAACATGTAGAAGGTTGCACCAATATAAAAGAAAATTATGGCAATACATCTGTGATGTTTTCCAGTTAACATAGGAATTACCAGATAAATACTGATAAGCTCTTGTGCAATAGCAAGAGTAGATTTGTATGGGCAGTATGATTTATTGTTTATTTTTTTAACCAAATACCTCCTCAGTAATTTATAATGGCTTTGCAGTAATGTGTATCAAATAAGCACTGGAAAACTGATTCGTCTCTAGGATGATATGCATGTTTCAAGTGGTATTGAAAGCCGCACTGATGGATATGTAATAATAAACATATCTGTTATTAATATGCTAATGACTCTGTGCTCATTTAATGAGAAATAAAAGTAATTTATGGATGGATACCTTTAATAATGACTGTATGGTGTTTTCTCCTGGCTGAAATGAATAGAAATTATGCTATAAATTAGTTTCTGACTATATACAAATGTTTGTTCAATTCCACAAATTAGATTAAAGTGAGTTTTTAAAAGATAGAACCTGCCAAAACCGGTTTGGCTCAGTGGTAGAGCGTCGGTCTGTGAACTGAAAGGTCCCGGGTTCGATTCCGGTCAAGAGCATGTACCTTGGTTGCGGGCACATCCCCAGTAGGGAGTGTGCAAAAGGCAGCTGGTCGATGTTTCTCTCTCATCAACATTTCTAGCTCTCTATCTCTCTCCCTTCCTCTCTGTAAAATATCAATAAAATATATTATAAATAAATAAAGAAAAGCTGGAACCTGCCTGGGTTCTAAAAGAAGAATGGCTACAGTTGAAATGAAAAGTTGACTAATATCTTTGTAGGGGTGGAGAACCTTATTTCTGCCAAGGGTATCATTCCAGGCTATACAAAACTATCAACTGAAAAATTAGCCTGCTATATTTGGTCAAACATTTCATTAACTCACGCTAATGCCTTAGCAGGGCCACGATTTGGCATGGCTTTCACAGCTCTCGGGCCAGACATTCCCCATTCCTGGTCTATTGGGAAACCATTTTACCTGGATCTCTTACATTTCTCATATCTTACGGTCAGAGAGAGACTCTAGCAGCTTTTTTTCCAGAATCTTTACCAAGGAGTTCTGCATAGTGAACAACCTTGGAAGATATTGTGTCTCCTCAAGAGGAAGGCAGGTATGTCTCCCATCCGGCATATTAAAGATAATGTTCCCTCCAGATCTGCAAAAGTTGGGCAGATTTGCTTGAATTCTTTACAAAAGATTCAGGCACCCTAAACTTGGGGTTCCTCGGCTGTAATGTAAACCCACGGCATGTTCAGGGTCCCACCTGAGCCACTTTGCATTGCTCCCATAGGACATGGGGGGCAAAGGGAACTGACAAGAACATGAAGCTTCTACTGCTTGTACTGTTAGTGTCAAGTAGTTGGGCTGTGATCCAGAAGTCTCGTCTTTCCCAGGATCCATGAAATGTTGGCAGGCTAACTTCGGTTTGTAAGTACAGTTCAATCTCAGACTCTTCATTGTTCTTGACATGTCCTTACCATCGTCTTAGAATCATTCACCTAATATAATAAAAGTGTATTTTTTTAAATTAATATTTAGAGAGAGAGAGAAACATCAATTTGTTGCTCCACATTTGTTACACATTCATTGGTTGCTTCTTATATGTGCTCCAACCTGGGATCAAACCCACAACCTTGGCGTACTGGAACGATGGTCTCACCAATTGAGCTGCCCGGCCAGTTTGTGTCCTATTTAGAAATCTGCCTATTCTGCAGGGTCTGAAGATGATTCTTTGTTGGTTTCTGGAAGTGTTATTGTTTAAACTTGCACATTTAGATCTACAATCCATACAGAATTCATTTGTGTGTATGTGTGATGTAGAGGTTAAAGATTTTGGGTTTTTTTTTTTAATTTATTTTCTCCATGTGAATATCCAATTGATCCTGCAGTATCTTATCAAAAAGACAATTCGTCCTGAATCATAAATCAGATGACTAATGAGGAACCTTTGTAATAATATGAACAATAAAGATTGATTAAATAAATAAATAAATAAATAAAAATAAAATAAATCAGATGACTAATCTATTTCTCTATTCTTGCCAATATTATACTGTTTCAATTACTGTATATTTTACTAGAGGCCCAGTGCATGAAATTCCTCAGCCCAGCTTGCATTCTCTCCAATATGGGACCCCTCAAGGGATGTCCGACTGCCCGTTTAGGCCCAGTCCTACCTGGCCTAAACAGGCAGTCAGCCATCCCTCTCACAATCCAGGACTGCTGGCTCCCAACCGCTCACCTGCCTGCCAGCCTGATCACTCCTAACCACTCCCTGACAGCCTGATTGATGCCTAACTGCTCCCCTGCCAGCCTGATTGCCCGTAACTGCCCTCCCCTGCTAGCCCTGGTCATCCCTAATTACCCTCCCTTGCCGGCCTCCCTTCCCCCCCCCCCAACTGCCCTCCCCTACAGGCCTGGTAACCCCCCAACTGCCCTCCTCTGCAGGCCCAGTCACCCCTAACTGCCCTCCCCTGCCAGCCTAATTGCCCCCAATTGCCCTCCCTTTCAGGCCTGGTCCCTTCCAACTGCCCTCCCCTGCTGACCTGATTGCCCACAACTGCCCTCTCCTGCCGGCCATATTGTGGTGGCCATCTTGTGTGCACATGGGGGTGGCCATATTGTGTATTGGAGTGATGGTCAATTTGCATTTTACCTCTTTATTATATAGGATATTTGTAAATTCTCCAACTTCATAGTTCTTCCATATTGACTTGACTGTTCTTTCCTTTTACATTCCTATGAAAGTTTTCAAAATATCTTAATTTCTACCAAAGAAAGAAAAAGACTTCTAGGCTTATAATTGGGATTTTGTTCAATCTGTAGATCAATCTGGGGGGAATTGACATCTTTACAGTTTTGTTTTCCAGTCTATGAATAAGGTAAGTTATTGCATAGAAATAAAACTGACATATTTGCAAATATAATTGTGTATGTAGAAGTCTAAAAGAAGTCACAAAGTGCTAGAATTAAGTGAATTTTCAAAGGCCTCTGGATACAAAATAATATACAAAATTACTTTGTTTTCCTGTTTACTGGCAACAACTGGAAAGGGAAACTTTATAATGATACCATTTACATTTAAATAAACAAAATTCACTGAAAGATGTGTACAATATCCACTAAGAAAATTATGAAACATTCAGAAAAATTAAAGACCTACATACATGTAAATAATTGTTTTAGGTAGAACATTTTCACATAAAATTACTAAAATAAATGGATATATTCTAAGGACCTAATGAGATTTTAGCTTTCTTTTTTTAAAATGTAATAATACCTATATGTTTTTTATTTCAAAGAGGAAGGGAAAAGGGGAGAGAGATTGAAACATCAATGAGAGAGAATCATTAATTGGCTGCCTCTTGTACACCTTCCACTGGGGATCGAGCCCACAACCTGGGCATGCGCCCTTGACCAGAATAGAACCTAGGATCCTTTGCCCCAGGCCAATGCTCTAACCACTGAGCAAAATCGGCCAGGGCAGAACCTTTCTTTTTAACTTACACTTGAAAATATTAATCACATTTGTTTTACTAAACAAATCATTTTCTAGTTGAATAATATGTGTGCATAAAGCCGTACTCAGTGCTTTAGGTATGTTTATTCTAACCTTTTATCCTTTTTAAAAATTTTATATTGATTTGGGGAGAGAGAAACATCAGTTTGTAGCTCCATTTATTTAAGCATTCTTTGGTTGTTTCTTGTATGTGCCCTGATCAGGGATCGAACCTAAAACCTTGATATAGCCATAACTCTCTAACCAACTTAGCTACCCATCCAGAGCTCTCACATAAATGTTTCTCCCTTATTCTTTCCCTCTATCTCTTCCTCCTTCCCT